AAGGGCTCAATTTCAAACATGCATATTCAAACATGCTGTTTAATTTCAAACACACAGACTGAGGGTTTCCACCTGACACACAGCAGCCATGGCACCCAGGTTACCCCTCTGTGCAAGTGTTTAGTCACCACATGCAGCTGGAAGGTCTGCCTTAAACCCCTCTCAGCAGGAGGACCCCAAGTTGGAGACCAGCCTGGGCATCTTAGCAAATTAGTGAGACCCTGTCTCAAAATAAAAAACAAAAAAGGGGCTGGGAGTGTAGCTCAGTGTGAAGGCTCTGGGTTCAATCCTCAGTGCTGAACAAAAACCCCCTCAGCAGCACTGGGATCTACTGTCTGCCTCGTGGTCTTTAAGTATGTAGACTAGAAAGTCACTATTCCTGAAGAAAGCACAAGGTCAGATGCTGCAAATCTTAAAAAATCTTTTTCCTGACTTACTTCTCCAAGAAAGCACTTCTTTAGAAATCAAGTCTGTCGTGGAGTTTAGGCATTCTTAATACATGTGTCCTACGAAGTCCTGTTGGCGATGCACAAAGGATTATGCTATTTCTGCTTGGTAAAATGGCTTGTAGATTTCAGTGTAAAAAGGGCAACATGGATATCTAAATCTGACTCATTTGGGAAATAAATACTATCCCTTTCAGAATAGACAAAAAGACCTAGTTTGAGTCATCTCTATAAAAACATTTATTAATCACATTTTTCTTCCGTTAAAAACATTTTTAACCTATTCTATGAGTTAGGAGACTCTAATAATTTACGAGTTACATCTAAGATCTCTTTCTCAGCATCCACACCTGACCACAATCCCAGCCAGGCTGGAGGGGGAAGAGTAGATAGCTGCATATTAGAATAACCTGAAGAGCTTCAGAAACTCCTAATACCACATCCCCTCCACCCCAGCAATTCCACTTTAACTGGTCTAAGACAAGGTTGCTCAACTCCCATGCTACAGTGAACAGCAGGTAAGCAAGCCAAAGATTCATTTGTAATTACCACTAACTCACATCACCATGTGAGCTCTGTCTGTCAGATCAGCTGCAGCATTAGATTCTAACAGAATCTACTGTGAACTATGCATAGCAAGGGATCTAGATTATGTACTCCTTGTGAGCATCTACTGCTTGGTAATGTGAGATGGAGCTGAGGTGCTGATGCTAGTGGTGGAGTGTGGCTACTACAAATACAGATTAACATTAGCAGAGAGGTTTGACTGTGCAGAGACCATAATAAACCGACTGCTTGCAGACTCATATCACAACCCTAGTAGTGAGTGGCAAGGGACAAGCTGCATCTGGTAGAAGGTTTTATAGTAGCATGTGAGTAGATATTCTTTAATTGTACAGTTGTACCTAGGGCAGGCTTTAAGTCAGAATCTGACACTCATTTTAGTTCCTATGTGGCCCGCCCCTTATTTTATTTACCACTTCTTTCCTCTTTCCCACACCAAGCATTTGCCTTGTCACGGATTTGGTAAAACCCACAAGCTAACTGTAGCCAAAATGAGTAAAAAACCAACATCACTGGAGAGTTTCTTTGAAAAGGGAGAAAGACTCGATGATCAGACAGTAGAAGACTCTAAGACTGCCAATAAAAATAAAGCTGCAGTAAAAAGAATATACTGAGAATCCTACTTAAAGTATGGTTCATTGCAACAGATAATTCATATTCTGCAAACCCTCTTTGTATAATTCGTGGTAACTGACTATGTAACGAAGCCATGAGACCTTCCAAACTGCCTTGCCACAGGGAGACCAAGCATTAAAAGACACACCTTTGGAGTTTTCCAAAAGAAAAAAACATGAACATGAAAAACAGAAGCAATTACTGAAGGCCACCACTTCATCAAATGTGTCTGCCCTGAGGACATAATTCTTAGTGGCTAACCACTTTGATAAAGCTGAGAAGCCCTTTACTATCGGTGAAGGGTTGACCTGCCTGCTGTTAAGGACACGTACCATGAACTTTTAGAAAAGGCTGCTGTTCAAATGGTACCAGATGGTCTCTCTCTCGCCTATCACCATTTCTAGCTGAATTGATAGAACAGTAGAAAATATTGAGGCACAATTTTTAGTAAAAATTAGTAAGTCACTGTGGTTGGTACGTGATCCAGGGTGACAAGGCTGCCAGTGTTGACAACAACATTTGTTTTTGTACAATAATTTTTTCAGGAGAATGTGTCTGAGAATATGTTCTGTGCACTTTTGTTGCCAACCAACACCACAGCTGAAGAACTATTCAAGTCTTTGAATGATAACATATCAAGGGGCTGGGGATTTAGCTCAGCGGCAAAAGCGCCTGCCTGGCATACGCAAGGTTGTGAGTTCGGTTCCCGGTACCGGAGGAAAAATAATAATAATAATAATGATAACATATCAAGAAGACTGAACTGGTCATTTTGTGTCAGTACTGTATGTGTACAATGTATAGAGTGGCTGCTATGACCAGGCTTTCTGATTTCACTACTTGGGTGAAAGAGGTCACTTGTGAATGTGGATCTACACAGTGTGTCATCCACAGAGAAATGCCGGCTAGCAAAAAAAAATGTCACCTGATCCTAACAGTATTTTCCAGGATGTTGTTAAAATTATCAACCACATGAAAGTATGTGCCCTTAACTCACATCTATTCTGTGAGGAGACAACACAGAGAACACTAACTGCTCACATATACAGAAGTGAGATGGCTTTTCTAAAAAGACAAAAGTTAACAAGTGCTGGCGAGAAGTTCAAGAAAGGGGAGCCCTTGTATACGGTTGGTGGGAAAGTAAATTACTGCAGAAATTATGGAAAATTACTTGGATGTTCCTCAAAAAAACTAGAACTAGAATTACCATATGATCCAGCAATTCCACTTCTGGATATTAACCCAAAAGATTTGAAATCAGTATGTTAAAGAGATGTCTACACTCTCATGTTCATTGCAGCACTAGGGGGCCAAGGTAGGGAACCAAACTCAGGATCTACAACAGATGAACAGGTAAAGAACATGTGGTAGACAGGTACAATGGAATACCACACCGCACTTACAGAGAAAGGAATTCTACCATTTGCAACAATATAGGTAGAATAGAGAACATTATGTTAAGTGACATAAGCCAGGTACAGGGACAACTACTATGTGGTCTCACTTATATATGGCATCTAAAAAAGTCAGATTCACTGAGGTAGAAGACAGAAAGAGTTATAGAGGATGGAGAATGGAATACAACAAAGTCTCGGACAGGAGTAATAGGTTTTCTTAAGATTTCATGGTATGGTGAATATTATTAGTAATAATGTAGTACCTATTTCAAAAGTGCTAAGAGCAAATTTCAAACAATCTCACCACAAAAATTAACTATTTGAGGTGATATATGTTAACTTGATTTAATTATTCCATGTTGGACTCATAAATCATAGCATCACTTTATATATATATATGAAAAAATTTTAAGTATACTGATCTCAATGAACAAATGAAACCCCTTCCACAGTAGCCATAGTTATAGAACTAAAAAAAAATTTTTTTTTGGTCTTTTTGAGACAAGGTCTCACTATGTAGTTCAGGCTGGCCTTGAGCTCACTTTGTAGCCCAGGCTAGTCTCGAACTCACAATAATCCTCCTGCCTCAGCCTCCTGAGTGCTGGGATTACAGGCATGCGCCACCATGCCCAACCGAAAAATATTTTAAGAACACAAGCTTATGGATGTTTCTACCTAAGCGTTTACAGAAAACATTTGAACAGTATTCTGTATTTATAAGTTCAACAAAGGAGAATCCGCTATAATCACTTACAATCATACATATTAACATTTAAGAACAGCCAGTAGTCAGTCTCCCACACTAATTCACCAAGGAATCACTGAATGTCTCACATGTGACCCACAAGTAAAATAAATTAATACAAAATACATTATAGTTTCTGATTTCATGAAACTCATGTTTAGCTTTAGAATATGTCTTCAAACTTCAATTAGAGGTGGGTACAGCCTGATGTTCAGGGAATTTGAACCATCTGCTTGTGTGATTTTACTACTTTTTCATGTCTACCTTCTTCATCTTATCACATATTCATCTGCTCCAGGCTCCCCAAGTTCATGCTGTAAGTGTACAACTTGTGGGTCAGAATCTCCTAAAACACCAACCTGCACTGATCCAATGTAGACTGTGTTGTTCACACTTCTACCTCAAAATAGAATAGGGTAGACAAAGGGTCTTTTTAATGGATCTTCCTTTACTAGTGATCTAAAACTAGAGGGAAAAATTCAAATCTTTCCTCCCATTCTTTCTTTTTAGGTTCTGATCTGCATGAATATGCAAAAAGAATAATGATGCAAATCATCTCAAGTGAGCTAAATAATTGAAATTCTACTGCCCTCCTAAATATGGAAAAAAAATCCAACAGAATATTATATATAATTTTTAAAATCATTACCCCAATAAAGATTAACAGTGAAGGCAGTGAGATCAGAGGCCCTTTAATTACTCAAAAAAATTACCAGGAAAAGAAAAATCCTCCAAAATTGTTACTTACTCCAAAGACTGATGTTGCTGGTGACTGACTGGCTTATCGCATTTCTGTTTCATTATGATGTTTGGCCCTAAGAGATGCCTTCCATGGGGCATGATATTACTTGCTCCTGAATCCTGACTGATGGATTTTCAGACCCTGCTATGGAAATGTCAATGGTAGGACTTAGTCCTGACACCCAGTCTCAAGAATAGTTACTCATGTAACAGGAATAACAGGAAGAACAGTTGGGTTAAAAGATCTGTCTTCCGGTTCTCAGACACATGTTCTCCTGCAGGCCAAGCACAGTGGCGAAGCTCATATTTTCCTTGGGAAAACAGGAGTAGAGGGCATGCACAGTTGCACCAGGTTTTATCTCCTCCTGCGACAAACAGATCAATTTGCAAGATTAACAAAACTAGTGTAAGGTCCTTCCTCTAATGCACTGCAGGGGACTGAGGGACTAAGGGGGATTAATTTGATTAGAAATAAAACACTTTGGCACGGAAAAGTCTCTATAAATCTTTATTGAAAATGTTTCCATTTTGCAGAATAACTCAGGAAGAAACCTAGACTGATTACTACTACCAAGACAGTGGGCTTTAAGAGGGGAAAAAGATACTATTCCAATCCTAGCTGACACATAAGTACTGTATTTCCTTGCTAGTTTTCAACGAGCTGAACCCATTGTGGAGATTACTTCTGTTCTTTCCACATCATCAAATAGGTGGAAAATCTTGCATAGTGTTTTTTACGGAAACTAAGGCGCTCATCAAACAGACGGAGATCTCCTCTCTCTTTTGCTTGCTCACCATCACTCCTGAGATGTACATTTATCATCTAAATGATGCATTAAGCTTTTAAATCTAAATATTACATTTGGGGCTGGGGATTTAGCTCAGTGGCAAAGCGCCTGCCTGGCAAGCGCAAGGTCGTGAGTTCAGTTCCCGGTACCAGAGAAAAACCAAAAAAATAAAAAATAAAAAATAAATATTACATTTGGATAAAAATAATTCAAGATGTGCACTGGGATTTTAGGACCATACTGAGAAATGGGGATCAAAATGAACCCCAGGCAGGAAAAAAAGTCCAAACATGGCATCCTTTTCCAGAGCTTTTATCCAAAATGGCAAAGAAAATATATCCAAGAAATGATCATTTCCCAGAAAAGTCATTACTTCTGAATGTATAGTAACAGTGGTGTCATTAGCAGGCAATTCACCGGTTCCGAAGGCACACATCCACTTTCAAGAGCTAAGCACTCTGGTAAGAACTGTGCTGGATCCCCTATCAGTCTGATGCTTCTCCAGGAAAAAAGAAAGAAGATAAAATAAAATTTTAAATGACACTGACTGGTCCTTCTGGCTGAGGCTCTATAAATCCCCTGGAAGGATGGTGCTTGGATGGAAGAAGCCTTGGTTCCCTATAATTGTGGCTTTGGGTGATTTAAGATGTTTTTTAAAGGCCACGTAACAGCACTACGCAAAGACCCCCTCACCACTGGACTTTAGGTAGTCACAAAGAGCATCTCGAGAGAGAGAGACAAAAACAGCCAAACACATCATTCATCCTGTTTACTACAGCTCAGCTTTCCCTGCAAGTTTCTCAACAGCCCAGAGCGCACCTTTTAAGCCCTGTTTCCCCTGAGTTTGTTGTCCTGAGTAACCAAGTAACCTGGAGCTAAGTCATTCCTCTGCCTTTCTCCTCTTTCATAAAACCCGAACTCCACTCTCTATCCCACCCCCCCAACCACACACAGGCAGACCTGTGTTCTCATCCCCACTCTGTCCCCTTCTGTCCCTGACTCACCCTACCCACCCTGATGTTCCCTTCCCACCCCTCCCTGTCACACTACACTGAGCCCCAGCCCTTCAGCCTTTGCTGCCTAGATCGGCCCTAAATCTGGATAAGGCTGAGAACAGCAAACAAAAGAGCAACTGTGAGAACTGACAGCTCGAGGACTCTGGCATCAGGTCCTCCCTTGGCTGCCTCACCTGGGAGGTGCTGGCAGGGACGGGCTCCCTGCAGGCACCTCATACACCTCAAAATGACAGAAGGAGTACCTGGCCCTAGGACAGACACACCATGCTGCCGCTAGCAGAAGCAGTGGGCATGGGAGATAGGGAGTCTTCTCCAAAGAATAACACTGCACAGAAATGGGACTGTTGGAGGCTGGGGATTTAGCTCAGCGGCAAAGCGCCTGCCTGGCAAGCGCAAGGTCGTGAGTTCGGTTCCTGGTACCGGAGAAAAAACAAAAAAATAAAAAAAGAAATGGGACTGTCTAGGCCACAGCCCTGGTGACATGTGGCATAAAATATTATTCCAATATCCCTATAGGGGAAAAAAATGGGGGGGCAGAAGGGAGGGGAAAAAGGAAGGAAAAGGGGAAGGAAAAACACAGGGAGGGCTACAATTCTAATTTTGGGTAAAAAGAAATGGCTACTCCAAACAGGTATGAATCTAGGCTCACATCCCAGGCTCATTTTGAAATCCCAGTTGCAGGGGCTTGGACTCTTAGGTTGAAGCCAGCCCTAGAAGCCTTCCACAGAGAGGGTATGGTTGAGCTCGTAGGCGTTGCTATCCTCTTCCTCCAAAAGCAGCTTGTCGATGGTCAGGGAACTGATGGCCCTCCTGGGGTCATCCATGTCCTGAAGGACCGGCTCAGGGAGAGAGATGGGGAGCTGGACAAACTGGGGTCCAGGCAGCGCTGGAGCTGGAGGCTGGTATTGCAGGGTAGAGGTGGGCAGCGTGGAAAGGGGTTGAGGCCATGGGAAATAAGTGAGAGGTGCCTGGTGCTCTGGACCCTCCAGCTGAGGCCCCATGGTGGGCGTGGCAGCGCTTCTCGTCTGTGATGGGAAACACAGGGCCAAGGGTTAGCAACCAGGTATGTCCATCCACCCGACCTTGCCTCAAAGGAATCTCCGGTTCCTCCTTCAACCCTACCCTTCCCTGGTTTCTCACTTTAGGAGGCCCCACCTCCTCCTGCTCAAAGTCTCCCTGGCAAGGGAGAACCAGACAAACCTCAGATGTATCCCTCCTTTGCATGGATCCTTGCACCTGCTACTTTCTAATTCAGAAACCTCATCTTTCTCCTCTATCACTGGGATACAAATAGCCATGAAGTCACAGGGCTGAGCACATTAGAGGGGATTTTCCAGGTTGCATTGATTTTTAAATGCATCCTAATTTCAGAGATCTTAAAGTGTGAAAAATACATGTCTTAAAGACCTGTTAAACAATGAGCCTGTCACATAGCCTAGTTCGCTGTACCTGGGAGGTAACTGCGTCCTGCCCAGACACAAAAGCAGTTCTGGCTCCACACAGCAGCTCTGGCATCCTGAGGACCCCAGTGGGCCAAGGTAGCTCCATCATCTCCTCCCCTCCTGCTGGCCACCAGTACAGAGAGGGCCAGGCATCCTGCTAGCCTGGGAAGCACTGCTGTGCCAGCAAACTTGGCCTTTCATCCTAGTGCTACCCGGTGCCTCCCACGTCCTTTACTCCTCTGACTCTGAGCGGTCTCCCACGGCCACCTCACCAGGGGGCCCCATGACTCTTCAAACCTCAGAGCCATTGTCCCATGTGCTCTAGAACTACGCACCCCACCTACACAGAGACTACCCTTAGGAACCTCGGGTCCGGCCTGCTGGAGAGGCAGCGCCCTGATTCTTACTGGCCTTTCACAGCTGAAAAAAGCAGGTGGAACAGGAAGTTCTCTTTACAGACTGATGTGAGGTCAAACTCTCCCCTCCCCATCCCGACCTTCCCTGTCATTCTCTGGCTGTCTCTGTGCCTTGAAAGGAAAGTGTTAGAGTTAGCCATTTTTTTTTCAGCTTGCTGGGAGTCTCGTTTTAACAGACTCTGGTCCAGGATATGGGGTGTGGGTGGGGCTTGGGATTCTGCATTTCTTAACAGATCTCAGGAGATGCCAGCAGGACTGATCCAGGGACAGCAGTGTGAGGAACAAGGCTGTAGGGTATCATTCCATGGAATAACGAAGCTGAAAGCGCCTGACATCCAGGCTGTTGTGCTCGTCTCCCTACGCACAAGTGCTTCTCCTCCAACATGAGCCCGTGGTGCCAAGGCCTCCTGCAACCAGACAGAACCTGCGAAAGCCTTATCATTCCCATAGTTCAACAGTCCAAATGGAGAGCTTTCATTTTTGAGTGCCAGGCCATTGCAGGCCTCTTGCTCAGGGATAGAATCACAACAACCCAATACTCGGCTGATCCTAAAAGCTGACTGGGGGCTCATATCCCCTTTGATGAGTTCATTTACAAAATCCCGAAGTGAATAATTTATTTCTTAATACATACAGTTTGTCTGATACACAGAACCTTTCAAAGCAAATAATGGGGATGTGGAAGGGAGACAAATAATGAAAAGAACCCTTTGCAACGAAATGGCTGGGAACCACTACATCCTCTACCCACCCCCTCGCCTCCACCTCAGGCTCAGTGATATGGAAATGAGTCACCTGGGGAACATCCTGCATCAACTCCTTCCTACCTGCCCTCATTAAGACCCCACAATGGGTTTGCTAAATAGCCAGGTAGGGCAGGTTAGCCTCCCACAGGCCTTGCCTGGAAGGTGCTTGGGGGCAGGGAGCAGGTGCACTGGGAAGACACTGGACCCTAGAGGGAAATGGAAGGGACACAGGCAGCCAAATCAATTTCCACCAGCAAGGGTGGGCTCTGTAACTACTCCTGAAGCCCCTGCTGTACTTCCCACTGGCGCCTTGCAGTGGAGCAGACGTCACTGAAACCACTGCCTTTGCTGCTTTGAACACCTGAGAGATCCCCACACTTTGGGTCACATAAAACTGGGTCTCTTCCTTCATTCCCCGAGGAGCATACCCTTCCTTTCCTATCTGGCTCCTGAAGATGGTCCTTGGTTAATGTCACTGGCAGATTTGGGTGCGATGATAACCAATATTTATTGAGGGCTTTCCAACTGTCGGGACATGTGTCAAGCTATGCATTAGTTCATGTGATTAGTATTTGCATTTTACAAATGAGGACACTGAAGCTCAGAGAGGCCAAATTACTAAGCCCAAGCTCACATAATGAGTAAGTAAAGGGCTGAGGATTTGAACACAGCCAAGCCGACACTACAGATGGAACCCCAAAATTACCCTTCGGGTGAGTCTAAGTCACAAGGTCAGCTTTCTGGAAAGTTGCATCAGCTTTTGCTCAGCCTAGAAATCTTCTGGCAAAATCCTTTGTTAAGTGAACAATCAAATCACTCTCTAAGTTATTTGAACTGAGAAAAAAAAAAGGCTGGCACTGGCACAAGACCCCATGCCGATATCGTTCACTAAAACTTTGCCTCATAACCAAGACTCGCTGCTTCCAAGGTAGCTGGGGAGATTCAGGGTAGAGAAGCAGGGGAACTTTGCAGCCCCAAGGAACCGAAGCATGACAAAGCAGGCATGAGGTATCTGGAAGGTATTTGGGGTCTATGGGAATAGCAGCAAACTTCCTACATGATTCTATGGACTTCGATGACCTGGTAACCCTGGAAACCTATAACAAGGGAGACCAGGGATCATAAAGTCAGCCCTACTTTTAGAAGGGTGCCCTCTGCTTTCGTACGACATACCGTGACGTTAGTGATGAGCGGTGGGGAGGCATAGGTCAGCACCGATGAGGGCCCCACAACCGTGTAGCTGGGGCACACAGGCTGTACATACATGTCGGCTGAGTAGGGGCAGCTGACGGCATCATGGGACACATACTCAGTGTAAGGTGTCCATGGGGTCAAGGGCTGGAGGGTGGCCGGGGTAGGTTGGGAGAGCCAGCTGGCACACAGAGCCCCCTCCTCCGTCACTGCGGATGCAGAGACCTCCATGTCAAGGCAGGGAGGACCTGTGGGGGAAAGAAAATTGCAGAACTGCAGGTGCCAAGCAAAGGAGGGACCTGGGGGAAGCCAGGGCTGCAGGGAGCTCTTACCCACTGTGGTGTAGGTCGCCAGGGGTTGATGGGGCAGCACCACCTAGAGGGGAGAAGACAAGACAAGGACCAGTATTTAGCCGTCTCCATCCAGTCCTGTGCAGGGAACTCAGCCCGGGGGGCTCCAGGGGACCAGAGCACAGAGAAGAATCTCCCTTGTTAGAACAAAACACCCACCCCATATCCCAGCCACCACCACCTACACTTCTGAGGGCTCTGTGTTTCCATTTTCCAAGAAGTCTGCGCACTTAAGGAACTGGCATCTTCCTCTTCCTTCAGGAAACCCCCTACTCACACTAAGTGTTTCTCAATCATTTGAGCTTTATGCATGGCGTTTCCCAATGGCCCAAGCAAGCCAGTCGCCCACCCCTCATCCTACTGCAAGGAACCCCCAACTGTGCCCTAGGCCCATCTCCTACAGTACCACCAGGTCACTTGCTGTCTTCAGGCCCCCATGGACAAGGAAGTGTATTTCTGCCTGACCTCTCTGCCACAACACACGCGCGCACGCACGTACGTACGTACGCACGCACGCACGCACGCGCTGGCCCTACCGCAGTTGGTGCAACAGCCGCTCCGCTGCTGGCGTGGCCACGCTTCCTCCTCAGCAGTTCCTTCACCGGCTCCTTCACGCGGACACCCTGATACGGCCGAGGCGGGGCCGGGGCTTGCTCTGGAGGGGTGGCTGTGAAAAGCAATGTCGCTGGAGCCCGTAGCTCTTCTCAAACAAACCCCGGCCCCAAGTGCCCGTTTCCTTGGGGAGCTACCTGCTTCGGGGTTGTGCTCCGTCACCAACGACAGGAGCTTTGCTAGAGTATTCCTCCGGGTTTTATCACTCTTCCTGCCCCCAAGTCTTCTGTGACTCGTCCACACCCACAGACAGGGCCCAGCCCCTTGGTCTGGGAGTACAAGGCTTTCACAATGGGATCTGAACCCATTTTTCTAACCACTCTGCGCACTACCTTCTACATAAACTAGCTCCTGCCAGAAGATCTGTCCATACTGCTCCACGTGGCCCAGTGTGTCTCACCTTCCCGTCTTCACTTGAGGTTTTCCATGGCCTGAATTCTCTCTCACTTCCTTTGACCTCTGCAGTGCATGGAATTTCTGTATTTTCAATTCTCAAATACTTGCAGATCTGATTAGTATTCATCATAGGTGGCAGTAGAGGACAGCAGTAAGAGCAGGGACTCTGACTTAGGTGGCACAAGCCTTAAATCCTGCCCCTGCCACAATCTAGCTGTGTGATCCTGGGCAAGTTACTAAACCTCTCTGAGCTTCTTAGTCTGCCATTTCTCATCAGAGAAATGTTTTATGGAATGTTTTATAAGAAATAAGCTATATGTTTCATATAAAATCAAATACAGAGTAAATATTCCATAAATTTTTATTCTGCTATAAAGTAGTCTGGTAAACATTTCTAATGCTCCCAACCAGATCAGAAATTTATCAAGGTTAAGTAATGCACCTTATTTCTCTGTATCTTCCCAAACGATGTGTCCACAGTGAACTCTATGATTATTTGTTGATTAATCGGTTGGGTGATTCTTTAACATGTGCTGCCATTTCTCTTCCCTTTACCTCTCCTGGACATTTAGAATGAAGGGCCTGGAGCAAGTGGTTCCCAGGTTCTTCATGACTAACAGGACTTGGAACAACATCCCATGGTGATCTGTTTGCCCTGGGGCCACAGAATATCCACTTTGCTGCTGAGAGCTTTCCTTTCCTTCTGTTATCAAAGGCAAGAAGCCAAAGCACCAACCCAAGCAGAAGCCAAGCACAGGATCCTTCCTGGCCTGGAAGAACAAGCGAAGAAAAGCACCCATGGCTCTGCATGACAACTTGCCCACTCAGATGGCCTGGGGCTGGGTGGAAGCACTAGCCCTCAGAACTCACACGGGAGCCCAGTATCATTTGATGATAAGGGTCCCAGGGGCCCAAGCTCTGAATCAAAGGCCCGGAAGCCTGAGTATCTATTAAACCCGGATCCACAGTGCTGCTTTGGTTGAACTTTGCTCAGTAAATACCCAGCTGATAAGGTTCTATGCCTGACTGGGCACCAGACCTCCCTCCAGGTTCTAGGCAAAAGCATGGCCTGGCTTCCAAAGCCCAGTAAGCACAGAAATGTGGGCACAGGAGGGAAGTTGAGCTCCAAGGACAGATGATGTGAATCAAGACCACAACATTTCAGACCAGGCTTGAGACCCATCTTCCGATCCCTCACCTGTCCATGTAGCAAAATTAACCAGAGAGCAACCTGAAATTCAGATACCCGTGTCACTGCTCCTGGAGAGTCTGCTTCTGGGGATCTGAGGGGCCTAAGAGATCTACATGAGTGTAAGTCCCTCTGATAACTCTGAAGATCTACTGAGAGTAGAACCACTGACAGTTCTTCCCTGATTTAGCAGAAGAATCTCCCAATAGGAGATTAATCATCTTTTCTTGAACTTCCCTGTCACAAGTACGAACGCTGGTATTTATTCATTCCTTCCTTTATTCCTGTGTGCTGGGAGTACAACACTGAATGAGATGGACGTGATCCCTGCCCAGGTGGACCTTGCAGTCTAGTGAGGAAGATAAGCAATAAAAGTTACCAGTGGGAGAGGTGTCACAACTTGTGAAGTTCAGCCTGATAAAAGAGTGCAGAGCAGCAGGAGCCACACTCATACCTGTGCCCCTGGACCACCTTGAAAGTTTGAAACACCTGTATTCAAATCTGGGTTCTCACTTATTGCTAGGAAATTCTCAGACTCTGGGCTTCAATTTCCTCATCTATAAAACAGGAATAATTACTCCCCTCTCCCACTGCAGTAAGGAGGAACTGAAATGATAACTGAGGAGCTCCCAAGGTCAGGCCCAGCATATGGTAGCTGTTTAACATATGTTACTGTTCTTCCCTCTCCTCTACTCACATCTACTTTCTTTGGAAAACTATAATTTGAGAAAAGTGCTTCCTCCTGCTGAACCTGCCTTATGGCAACAAGTACTGAATTCCCTTGCATTATCTTCTGATGGAACAATTCATCCATTTATAGCTTTCTCACCTATAAAATAATCAAAATGGTACGTATATTGTAGGTAAGTCAAGAATTAAATGTAAAGTGCTTAGACTAGAGCTTGGCATGGGGGACCTTTTATGCATGTGAGCTAATGTTATTAATAATGGTAGCGATACCACTTCTCTAAATGAACTCATTCCTTCAGCCATCTCTCAATGACCTTTTAAATCTGAGCCTGCCTTCTGGGTGCATCCCTCCTCCACAAGTTCAACTTGCCACGTCCTGTCTGCTTGGAGATGCCCAGTGCTGCCTCAGACCTCAGGTGTGGCCTGACTAGGCAGAGAGCAGAGCTACCTGCTCCTTCCACATTCTGCTCAGGGTCACTCATGGCCACGTCAGCTTTATTCACAGGCATATCATGCAGTATATTCAAGTCGATCGCCTGCTATTTCTTAAGCAAAAAGTGCAGCCTGAGACACTGTGTACTCAGGAGAAAAGTGGGGCATAGAGTTGTTTGGAGGTCCCAGCACTGTGGCCACCCTATCCTCATTCATCTCGGAAACAAGCTCAATTCCCTAAGCACACCTCTCGGCCGAGATCAAAGACAGGTACATGGCTCGCTCACTCGTCCCCCTCTAATTTGCATGTAAATTTCTGAGAAGGACCCAGAGGCCTCCTGATTGCTCTCCCTCCCAGGAAGGCGACACACTTGGCTGGAAAGAGACCAGCTGAACATTTCCAGGATCTTGTCAAGTAAGGGCTTCCTGCCTCCTGTTCTTTTTAAATCAATGAACAAAGAGGGCTTTGGGGAGCTGCTGTGAGCAGATGGTGTCACCCTCTAATGTCTGGACTTCCTTGGAACCCACAGTGTCAACAGATGTGCCCTGGCACAACAGAGCATATGCAGAGCAATTTCTGGGTACCCGCCTCTTCCTATGGCAGCTGCAAAGCCTCCACAGCTTCCCAGGTGCCCTGACCACTCATGTGCCAAAGAATCCTGCAACTGACTCCACCTGATCAGGCAAGAGTGTGGTAGCTTCCAACAGCTTCTTTGCAAAGTGCCTGTGAGGTATCAGAATCCAAAGGCTCAGAACAATTCCCAAGGGATCCCAACAGCCGAGTGTACTTGCAAGTTGGAAACCTGTGGTCCGTGACTTTCACACCAATCTCTATGGGGCAACAATCAACATTTATAATTCCACAGTAGACCCTGTGCTCCCACCTGCCACTCGCAAAAGAACTGACCCAACAAACACATTGGAAGAGGAAAAGAAGTGCGCCTGAAATCATGGTTGTCTTACCTTGGGGCTGCTGGGTCCCTGAACTGAGCTAACTTTCAAACAACTGAACTGGAATATTAAAAATAACAATTTGAAAGGTATTAATTTTTAAAACAGTAATAAAAAGAGTATCCAAGGAAAATAAGAGATTGAAATAATATGCCAGCAAAAAAGATGAAAGCCCAATTTCCCAAAGTAGAGTTAAGCAGAGATTTCAATCACCTCCTGATAGATCTGCATTTACTCTAGGGTCTTCAGTGGGCAGCCAGGTCTTCATCACTGAGAAAAATCTGCCCACCTGAACATGAACCTCTTGGCTCTCACTGGGTATCTCCTTCTGGGGCCTGAGAAGTTCATTGTATTTCCTTTCCATACCACTGGAAGTCAGTCACCAATGGGCTTGCGGTCAGGGGCTCATTTACAGCAAAACCCACAAATTTGTTCACAGTGAGGACTTCCATTTTCCAAAACGAGCAATGAAAAATCTGAAGACATGAAAAAGCAGTAGAAGATATTTCAGTTCCTCCCGTCACATACCAGGCATGCTCCACATGACAAAAATAAAGAGTCCTGCAGCTGTTGTACCCTTGGAGAGTGCACAGCGTGACAAATACAAGCCAACAGGTCACCTCACAGAGCCCCCCGGGCTGCATGTAGGCATTTGTGCCCGCTCTACACCAAGCTAAGGGAACATAAGATTCTACTGATTTAAATACACATGATGCTCTAGTTCCTTGGTAAAGGTATAATAAAATATCACTGAGGAAATATGCAAAATTATAGGCACTTGTTTATTTAATGACCCCCACACTGAATGCAAACTACATTCAAGCCACAGTGCAGAAGCTACTCAGGAGCTAAGAAGACAGGTCACCAGGCACTGGTCCCTTCCAGGGCAATTTTAGAGAACTTGTCAAGCAGGCATTCATTTCCAAGAACAGCTTCCAAAGTACTCTTAAGAGAAGACTTCATCCATTAATCTCTTGCTATTTCCCAAGAACCACCTGGCCAGGCAGCAGGTTCAACAGCAGTTAAGGGAGCTGCACACAGGGCTACATGGGATCCAGGATAAGCATGTATTTCCATATGTGGGAATCAGAGCACAGGAACGCTTCCAACCCACCTCGACAATCTTGCCCACTGGGAACTCTCTCCATTCACACCCGCCTGAACCTCAAGGACACCATCACACAGGCCATCTTGAAAGATAAAAACTTTCCAGCCCAGACACTCATATGTCACACTAGCCATTATGATACTGCACAGATCATCTGAGTGACCACTATAAAGGTTATTTTTTCCTGCAGATCTTCAGTATTAGTAAAAAGAAGAAAGACTCACCAAGGAAAAACACAAATAATTTTCTCTTTACTTGTAGCAAAACCAAAACCAAGTAACTGAACAATAGGAATTCAAGCCCAGGGCTAACAAACTTGCCCCAGCTTCTAACCGAAAACAAAGTCTGAAAAGTTGCTGACACTTTTCACTTCAATATAAAGAACGTTGTTTGTATTTGTGGCCTAAGATAGCTGAGGTCTTCTGGGAAACACGAGTTCAGGTAAGCTAAAGGATTATTCATTGCTTACTTGAAACACTAATGCAGGTGCTCTTCTTAGGGTAAATGTCTGAGTCAAAGTTTTCAAATTTGTTCTTTCCATTTATGGACAATGACTGATTTTTCTCCAAACAGGAAGAAAGAGCTTGGGCTTTGGCCAAATGCTGGACTTGACAAGCTACAGAAAGGCTTTCCCACCCAATTTACACTAGATTGTAGTTTCTTTCTTCCCTTTATAATGTAAGCCAACAAAGAGATCCCATGTACATGTAAATATGAGCTTTCCATTCACTAATGTTTGAACTGTGTATACATATTGCTCACATATTCTAGCGATCTAGATAACACTGGACGGCAGGGGAGAAAAAGATGGATGGGGGGAGCAGGGCAGATGGAAAGGGTCACGGCTCTGAAGAAGTCATCAGCAGATATGCTAGAAAATGGAAACTGGACCAAATTCAGATTTGATGTTGCTTGTCAGGCTGCTAGGGCAGCCAAGGATAAATGGCAATGCTGTGATCCGTAGACTGAGATGTCTCTATCAGATGTCAAAATTGGTGGCTACCTCTCATCTAATCAGAGAAGGGGAGAGTCCAGGACCTTTCCCCATCCAGGCCCCCAGTCTAAGTCACCTAGTCAATCTAATCTAACTCATTACTTCCTATGAGCCCCACAGGATTCATGCGTCCACCATAGGTAGGGCCACTGGGAGAAGCTAAAGGATGCCACAGCCACTTAGAAATTCTCTAGACCTGGGAAGACAGGAAATACTTAGACGGGACCTGGTAAGGACCTCCGTACAAAGAGCCAGGAAGGCTTGCCAAGTACAATGGGGTGGTTTCAAAGGGTTTTTCAGCCTTAGAACCACAGAGCCCCAGTCAGAGAGGTCTAGGTGCGGAGTGATCATTGTTTAAAGGAAGTAGTAGACAGCAGAGAATTGGCACCCAGGGCACTCCCCCAGGGATTCCTCTCAAGTTTATGAGGTGAAAGTAGAGAGCCCAAGGACCCACAGCCCACCCTGACCCACCAAGTTCCTGCCTGAACTCTTCCCACTCCAACACCTTGGGACTGCCTGGAGTGTGCCCAACATCCTGACGCCCTGCTCCATGAGTTCAGGCAGGGCCAGCCAAAGGCCTCAGGTGTAAGAGCCTCCTGCGTGGCAGTGGTCCTCTGACTCTTCCCTCACCACCATCCGGGCATCCTCTCCCGAGGCGCTCTCCACACCTTGCATACTACCCGTCCACTCTCCCTCCAAACCTCACACAGAACAAGCAGGAGGAAGGTTGTTGAATCCACTCTTCTTTATGGAGACCCAGGTATGCTGAATGAACTCATGACAAAGGTCCATGTGTTTCTTGGTCAGTCTTAACTCCCAGGAACTCTGAAATAACCGCTCGTATTTGCATGATTCTCTGTGGCTCACCGAGCCTTTGACACAAACGATTTCATGTGAAGCCCCACCACACCCTCTTCAATAGGGGAGGTATTCTGCTCTCCTTCCCTCTTCTCACTGCTGAGGAAAATGATGCTCAGAGGTGTTCAGGGACCTGCCTGAGGACAAGGCTCATACGTAACAGTGTCATCAGCCCATTTCTCCCTCCTCCCCGTCTGGGCAAGTCCCATTTATTTCTCTGCGTGACCCTAGAGATCAGTCATCCAATGGCCCATGGCTCAGTCCTGACACTGATTCCTGTCATTGGAGTCTTGGCTTGGACCACTCTGATCCTGTCTCCCTTGATTAGCGATTCCCTCAAGAAACGTTATTTCCCAGCTGAGAGAGGAAGAACAGTGCACAAGAAACTTGCCAGCAGTCTGCTCACATGAGGGGTGATGAGAAGTGAGAGACTCAAACAATTCCCCGCAAGGTTTTATTTTGGGTATTTTTTTACTGAAATGACAGCAAATAGGTCCACCTGAGAAACCAGCTGCATCTGCTTGCCTTTTACAGAAACTAGGGTCACCAGAGCAGAAAGGGTTCCCATAGCGGATATACCATGTCCCAAGGTAGGGGTCAAGACCAAAGGACGTCGGGCAGAGCACTCATTGAGCAAGCACTTGCTGAGCAGAGCAGATGAGGCCCTGGCCCTAAGGGAGCTTACAGTTTGCTCTTGTGGGATACAAAGACTTTAGTCGAGCAATCACACAAGCAAATCTAGAATCATAAACTGTAACATAGTGCATCTGCTTCAGAATTGAAGTAGTGCTGGCTTCTTGGGCTGGTGTCCACCTCCCCCGAATTCGGTCAGGCTTAAATGAGCAGCAAGCTGAGGGCCCCTGTCACATAGGGACTGTATAAAACGACAGGGGCAAGAGGCATGACTGTTCTCTCTCCCATGCAGAGACACTGGGGTTAGAGGTTCGAGCCACACTAAGAACGAGCCTTATCCAAAACATTGAAAGTGGCAGGCCCTGGATAAACCGGCAGGATGTTTCCTGAGCTGGTCTCACCCTGCCTTGGCCAATTAGCCCACCAGGAGAGCAGTGCAGATTCTAAGTACCTGCCTTCGGAGGGTCTCTACTGATCCTCAAGAGTAACTGTCTGGGATTCAAATTTTCAGTGGCTTTGAGCCAGAGTAGAGCTACCTTTGGTGAAGTCATAACCTGCCCTCTTCTAAGAGGTCTATTTCAACTGGAAGGGGAAGCAGGACCCAAAACCCTTGCACTGAAGAGCAGTGTGGTATAGTTTGGAACCTACACAGACCTGATCTGGAAATCTTGTTGCCTTATTTATCACCTGTGGGACCCTTAGCAAGCCACTGAACCTATACACGCTTCAGTTTCTCCGCCTGTAAAATCAGAATAATAATATCCACCTCAAAGGGTTATTAGGAGGATTTATGAGATTGACCCAGTTAAACATCAGACGCCTGAATAACAGGTGCTCAACAAATGGCTATTTATCTATTAATCTCAGCCAATAATCCATGGCCCATCTCTCAACAGAGAATTATCCTGAATACAGTGACGATAAATTACCCCCATCTCAATGCATCCCGTTAGTGAATATCTATCTGTCATGTTCGTCATCCCCCAGTAACAGGGCCTAATGACCCCAAGGCCAATCACCCTGAGACAAGGTGGCCAGTGATGCTGCAGAGGTACTAGTCAGAGACCCCACTTGTGGACAGAAATCCTAAGTAGGAGACACCAAAACCCTAGCATTGGCCTTTTGTAAAAATATTAAGAGCTGAGCAGACTTCTTTCTCTGAAAACCACCAGAGGAGTAAGCATGTGGCCAGTTCAGAATTTTATAAAATATTCCTCCCGGAATAAACATCTAAGATATTTTTGAACAGTAGCAATTAGGTGACAGTCAGAGTAAGATGGCTCACCTTCCCTGACTTCAGCTATGACACCTTAAAGACACTGTGTGTATCTACAAAAGCCATGGCTAAGGTTCCATTGCAGATATTGCTTCAAATGAGCTAGAAACTTAAAGCACATGTCATACCTAGGCCAGAAACATGACCATGTATAGGCCATGGCATAGAACACTTAAATATACTGTTCAGAGATGGGAGTTTTAGCACTTGTTAGAGAGAGGCAGATTCTGGCTGACACTGGGCATTACCTCAGCTTTACTAGGAGCAGCAGGCATCAACTGGGGAGAGAAAGAGCCTAACCTGAGAGCTGAAGACCAACAGTTCCATGTCAGGCAGTGAACAAGAAGGCCTGCCCGCCCCAGCAATAACACCTACCTACATGCAATAACAAGGCAGCACCTTAGGGAAGGATGGAGCAGAGAAATGGAGACATCTTTCCTTATCGGCATTGTGGAGGCCACAGCGGATCTGAGAGATACAAACAAACCCTTCCTACATATTGTGAAGAGTTAGCACCGGACCCGCAGCCTCTGCAGGGTTAAACACTGTAAAGGCCTGAATCTCGAATTACTAGTCTGCTGTAGGAAAAAAAATCTGTGGTTAGGCAGCTGGAGGAGGCAGCTGGAAATACAGTTGTTTGTTCTTTGATTCAAGCAATATCTAATTTTGGGTTTTTAAGACCAAGGAGAATTTTATGAAAGAAATCATCTTTTCCCGAGACCCCCCAAAAATGATTCCCTTGCAGGACACTTCAGATGCAGCAGAAATTGCACATTTGAGGTCAAATCCAAATGCCCAAGTCCCAAGGCTCATGGTGACCTGGGCTATCATCTACATGAGTGAAAGTTGTCCTGAACACGAACTCATAACTGTCAGTCAAGACAAGCTTTTTAGGGTAAGTCTCGGATTTACTAACCAATAGCCCTCATGATATAAGGGGATTCCCTTATAAAGGGCACTGCAGAAGAAGAGTGGTTATTAGAATATCAAGTTTGAAAGATGTCATGAGATCAACTTGTGAGGAATTTGCCCTCTCCTTATTCACAAGAACCCCACGAAGACTGAAAACATGACCGGCATGGTTTCAAAATTCCAGGAAGACCAACGCAACATGCTTCACAGCGACTCATTCTGTAAGCCAAGGAGCTGTGACCAGCTATCAGGGATCTTGCTGAAAGGAATGAAAGGCTGATCAGGTCAAGATCTCAACTATCAGCTCAAGAATTCTACATATAGTTACAGTGCCTGTAGGAAACAACAAAGGCACAAAGGCAGAAAAATCTCAGTTATTCAGCAACCTGAGTTCTGAATATCCCCCTAAAACTGCTCCATTTTTATTTTTATATTGGGGTTCTGCGGTATATATGGTCTGAATAAAGAGGATTATTATAAAAATTTGTGCATGTGAGCCTAGATATCCTGAGATTTTCTTCCCAATGCTAAGGTGCATCTGTGTATCCAATATCTAAGCAGCACGCCTGATACTTCAGGACCTATATTCAAAGCCCTATGTTCCATGACATCTTCCCTGACTCCATCTTTTTCTCCCTTCTGCCTAAGATAACTCATTTCATTGGTTGACTTCTCTAGCTAGAAATAACTCTGTTACTAGACAGCTGCATATGGCTACAGGCATGATAAGTAGATGACTGATTTTCCTTCTATAAATCAATGTGGTTTTCACCCAACATTAAGATTTGCCTCTATTTTCAACTCTTTTGTCTTTCTTCTCCCCTTTTTTACCATCTCCCCAACATTTCTTGGTCTTGGAAGATTTTCACAATCTTTATTCATTTCCTCTCTTCCAATTAAATTGATGGCTCTTTCTAGTGCATGAAAAGTAATTCAGTTTTTATTAAGGGTGTTCATATTCTTTTTGGTCCCAACACCTGGTCTGAGAATGATTCTCATTTGTAATTCTTTGGCTGCCAGCTCTTCCCAGAAAGTGCTATTAATGAAACCATTACTAAGAAAAGGAGGCAGCACATTGTTGTTTCGGTTTTCGGTATCATGAGTGCTATTCTTGCATATTTCAAGTGTCATTCTCCTCAGCACTAGTTTATAAACACACACCAAACCTGTGAATTAAAAAAACAAATACAAGTTTGCTGATCACTACAAGCCTTGCTGCACCCTACCTGAAAGGATTCTAGGGAAATCACGGCCAACTAGTCGAACAATGGTCAGCCTAAGTATCAGCGGTATCCTGCTCACAATCCCCATCACCAGTTACATTAAGAATATGTGCCTTACCATTTCACAAGAAATGAACTCAGAAGGCCTGCAAAATGTAAGCTACAATCAGCTGTGTGACCTTTGTCCTCAGAGGCAGGGTGAGAGACAATGGGAAGGCAATAATAGTAACTGCTATTTACTGAGTACTTGCTTAATGCCAAGCACGGTAGTAAACACCTACCACAACCTACGAAGGAAGAAGGGCACCCTTGGTGCCAATCTAAGGAGACTGCAACAGAAAGAGGCAAAAGGTCTTGCCAGCATTATACAATCAGCAAGACACAAATCTAGGACTCAAGTTCAGATCTGCGTGCCCCAGAAGGCTAGCTGCTCAACTGCTAAAGGCAAAGGACAGAGATGTCCCTAATTCAAAATGACCCTACTCTCTAAATCTTGCTCTGCATGGATCCATGACCAGAGAGAGAGAGAGAGAGAGAGGGAGAGGGAGAGGGAGAGGGAGAGGGAGAGGGAGAGAAAGATACCCTGACTTTTCCCAAGTCTTAAAAGTTCAGAAGGAAGGAAGTAAAGGAGACAAAAGCCTCAACTCCCAGCACAAGCTGCTACAGACATGCTAGGTCATTTGAGGCAAACTCTAGGTCCCTCTTTGAGCCCTTCTTTGGCCTAGATGTTTTCAAAGGGCCCAGTGGAGGAGGTAAGCCAGTAAGCAAAAATCTAATTTTCTTCAATGGAATATAAGCTGAACACATCAAAGTGAATGCTAAGGTCTGAACAGCCCTCTGTGGGCCAGGATGCTTCAGCGGACCACTGGTCGTTATCTAGCATAAAAGGCCCAGGCTTTCACCAAGAGCACCTCCTAAAACCTGTGAAGGAGACAGGCTCTGCAGCAAGAAAACAGGACAACTTAGCAAGTCAGTATTTGAGGCCTGGATCAGGTGAATTCTGCCATGTGGGTGAGTTGCTAACCTCGTTTTTAAGCTTCAGTTTCCTCGTCTATGAAAAAGACCTTACAACTGAACCTATGTCGTTGCCTTTTTATGAGGATTAAATGAGATAATGCATTCAAAGCATGGCAAAGACTGGAGGTTGTCACACCCAACATCTGCCTTCCGCTTAACAACCACTGCATTGTGGAGGGCGGCAACGTTCCCAGTTAAACAATTATGTTGGTCTCCTGGGTAGAAGGGAGTAGCCCTTAGATGTCAGAAGAAGTTGCATGCTGGAGAGAAGACGCATATTTTTCTTTGCTTTTCCCTTTCACCTTCCTTGCCTGAAACATAATAAAGACAACAGAAATGATAGCTAGAGTTAACACTGACGACTATGAAGAAAAGTCCTGGGGCATTATTGTTATGATATAGGCTCTACACAATCCTGAACAGCCTACTATGAACTTCTTTCATGTGATACAATTACTGCCTTATTTAAATTTCTATTCTTTCAGGTCTCTGCTAGCAACCCAATGGAGTCTGAACTGATTCATTAGAACCTTTGGTATGGCGCTTGGCACTAGGTAAGTACTCAATACTGTGCTATTTATCACCAAAAAAAGGACTGAACATATTCCACTTCTAGTAAAGTCCAAAGGTGGAAGAGAAGCCATTGATTTCAACCTCCACATCAGCACCTCTCGACCTGGATGATGCATTACAGTCACTCAGGGAAGCGCTTGAAAATCCCAACGCCCGGTGCAACTAACCAGAAGCTCTGGGTTGGGACCCAGGCGACAGAGTGGTTCTTATACCTCTTCAGAGCATTCCAGTGTGCTGTCAAGATTGAAATGCATTGGCCCAAGCAGATGCAAGAATCTCTTCTATTAAACTAAGAACACGTAGATTAAAATGTATATTATCGTTTAATAATCATGTAGAAAAATTCAACAATTAGAGCTGGAAGAGAACTTCAATCAAATTCAATTTCCTTGTTCTTAGTCAAGAAAACACATCTTTCATTTCCTGTAGTCTCAAAGCATCTAAGTGTTTTACCAAAGGCCCCAACTTTGATTACCTATGCATTTGAAAGTAGACTCCCCATGTCCTACCTGGAAGAATAATTCTTGAACACAGTATCACCCAGCCAGGACAGGAAGATTTAAGAGACATATCCATCCAAGATAGCCCCACTCATGTCAAGCCACTGCTCTTCAAAAATGAGAAATAGAGTGTTGCTAAGTATTCACAAAGTATTTATAAGTATTCATAAAGGTGAAATCATGCCAGTGGTCATAATCTGCCAACTTTGATTTGCTTGGCTTAGAATCAGTGAACATCTTCAGTTAGTCAGAAAATAAAATACTTTAGGAAGAGGGGGAAAATACCCGGTATACTTGTTTTGCAATGGGAAAGTTAAAAGCAAACATTTACCGGACTTCTTAATGAATCAAAGGTACACACATAGAGTGAACAAATATAGACAACCTCAGTTCTTTTTTCTTCCTCACACAAAAAAATAAGTTTACAGGTGTGACTAGGAGGAGAGCTTTGAAGACTTATGACTCAGTAACATCTTGGGGGCAGGGGCAGACAAATTTGGCATTTCTCTTTAGCAAATATAAGATAAAGGAAGTAAAATATTCACCATGAAATCATCTGCATTTCCTATATCTTGTAATCTTAGCAACTACTCTGAAGATAACCCTATGCATTAGAATAACCATTGTTGATTTCCTATTATCTTGTTTTGAAATTCTGTATCACTTTTTTTCTTTTTTTCTTTCTTTAAAATGAAAAAAGAAATCCTCTGCATTTTCACCAATTAAATTTTGTGTGCCTGGTGTGTGTCCTCTATTTCACCTGCAGAAGGTGCCTGTGGATGTGTCTCTCCTCTGGATTCTCCTTTCCTTAACAGCAAGAACCACTGAATCAACAGATAAACTTGGTAAGAAGTGAAGGTGTCCATTAGACTCCTTAAATAAGCAAAAGTTGCAACACAAAATGGAAATATTAGAGACTGTCCACAGGTTTTAAATTACTTTTTGTTCTAAGTGTGTCTGAACTTATGCAGGAAATTTCAAGGTTCCAAAAATTATCTGTACATTACACACTTTCTTTTTCTTTGCCCTAAAAAAAAACGTTGCCTATTTAGTGGAATGCTATGGTACCTCCTAAGATCAGAGGTCGTTGTCAATGAGAAATTTGAGGCTCTAATTTTCTGTTTGCTCAACTTCTGCTCTGTTCAAGTAGTCTGAAAGCAAAGGCACAGGGGCTGGGGATTTAGCTCAGCGGCAAAAGCACCTGCCTGGCAAGCGCAAGGTCGTGAGTTCGGTTCCCAGTACCGGAGAAAAACAAAAAAAAAAAAAAAAAAAAAAAGAAAGCAAAGGCACATTATGCCATAGTACCTTGACAGTAACTATTTCCTGTTCCTAAGGGGCCTCCTTGGGCATTACACATAGCGAAGACATACCAAGGCCAAGTCTATGGGACGTGAGACAACCAGCCAAATCAAAGAAAATCAGTCAAGCCTGCTTCTCCTTATCACGAAGATCTTCCCCTAACGCAAATGACAACAATAAAGTGAAGTTCCCTGATACATTCCCTTTCTAACAAGTGGTGTTGAATATATTATACATACTTCTGTTTTTTCAGGAAGAAGTTTGATCTAACCCAATTTTTGGCCTGGGACAAATTCTTTAACAACTTGACTGCAAGCTTTAGCTTCCACAGCTGATGACACTGTGCAAGCCCAGGGTACTGCATACCCTGAAGAAATAAATGCCTAACATACCAACCAGATCACCTAAGGCCAGAGTGTAGCAAACTTTCTACCACCAGCTGGATAACAGTTATTTCAGGCTTTGTGTGCCATGTGCTATACAGTTTCTGTCACAACTATGCAACTCTGCCATTGTACTACAAAAAGCAGCCTGACACGATATGCAAACAAACAGACGTGGCTGTATTCCAATAAAACTTTAATTACAAAAACAGGTCATATCTGCAGACTCCTGTTTTAGACACCTGGGAGACCTTGTTAGATCCTATCTCTCAAGAATATTTTGACTGGGGCTTTTAAATTATCCTAATCAAAGTGGAGAAACTATATAGGAGAGAATTTGTAATAATCACGATTGCTCAAGGTGGACTTAAGGGAGTTGTCCAGGAGAGAAGGCAGTAACTGACCACTGTCACTACTAATCGGGGAGCTTGATATCACTTTACCTGCACTCTTCACTTCCCTTTACACAAAAGGTCTGTGAGGCTGGTATTAGAATTCCCATTTTCCACGTTTTTAAAAACATGATTTTGCTGGGCGTGGTGGCCCATGCCTGTAACCCCAGCACTCAGGAGGCTGAGGCAGGAGGATCGTTGTGAGTTCGAGGCCAGCCTGGGCTACAAAGTGAGTTTGAGGCCAGCCTGGACTGCATAGTGAGATACTGTCTCAAAAAAAAAAAAAATAGGGCTGGGGATTTAGTTCAGCGGCACAGTGCCTGCCTGGCAAGTGTGAGATCGTGAGTTCGATTCCCGGTACTGAAATAAATAAATAAATGAATAAATAAATAAATAAAAACAAACATGGTTTTACCAACATTGCAAAGCTTAGCGTACAGCTGAGCCCTGTCTCACTCCAATGCTCATGCTGTTTCTACTGTACCGCTAAGTAGCCAGAGGGGATGTTAGTTCTCATCTATACAGAATGGAAAGGGCCAGTGCAGAACCAGGGAAAAGAACCTACAGGCGGAGCAACTTCTTTACCCACTCAAGAAGATCTCAAATCCATGGTTAGGGCTTGAAGATTTCCACCTCCCTGTGCCAGTAGTTCTGAGCTTTATCAAGCTATCTTGTCTTAACCAAAGCCCATGTGCACATTTAATCCCCAAACAAGGGTCATGGGCCAGGTAGGAAAGAGGCACAATTTTAAAGTAAATGTTTTCTTAACCCTTTCCAGAACCCCTGGGTACAGTCATTTCAGCTCATGCCTTGAGGGTGTTTTCTGAAAAAAGAAAGTGCCTTTTCAGCACTCTTGGCGTCTGATTTCAAACCCTTCCCTTCCAGTAGGTGATTCTAAGTGGGCTGATGATGCCACCCTGTTTTTACTGATTTTCCCACAGGGTTTAGTCACCCACATGCCCTGAGTACCACATAATTGGGCCTATGATGAGAGGATAGATATATGGGGCCTTTCTTAATTTTCATTAAGGTTCCAGAGAGCACAATTAAAGAGAGTTTGATTTGAGTTGATCTAAACATATACAAAGTCACCCCAGTTATCCCATTCATGAGCTTACATGTGATCTTCTTTACAATGCAGTTTTGGCTCAACTTAAACAGGAAGTAGGCTCTTCAGCATTCTTTAAAAAAAAAACTGTTCATCTCTTAGGAGAGGAAAAACAGTGGTAGCATAACCAAAAAGAAAACATATGGTATGCAAAGGTATGACCCACATCTCAGATGCTGATCTAGAACTAGAGTAGCTATTGGTAGCACCATAGCTTACTAGGGGTAGCTCTTCAGAAAAGGTATTATTATTTCTTTTTTGAGACAGGGTCTCACTCTGAAGTTCAGGCTGGCCTTGAACTCACCAGGCTGGTCTCAAACTTGCAGTGATCCTGCTGCCTCAGCCTACCAAGTGCTGAGATTACAGATGTACACTTCTATGCCCAGCATAGAAAAGATATTATTTTCACTCCAATTTTATGTATGAAAAAAGTGTAAAAACTGAAAAAAGGGGGCTCACACAAAACTCAAATGATTCAGCTCTAAGTGAGAGGGTATATGGATGCTTAGAAGTCCCTACAACATAAAGGCGACCTGCCCTCATGCACATAGCACTTCCTATGGTGTCGGCTGCCATTGCTTCTGGAAGCATAGGGTCTTTTGCCATCCTTCTAACAGCAGTTGCACACAAGCTGATCTAGAACATTCCTAGTTATCTTGGAAGGAGTCTGTAAGTCTCAAAATTAAAGAACATTTTTTTATTGAAAAAATATGTATCTTGCTGATATCAGTGATGGGACTTCACAAGCTGAGGAATTTTGAAATCACCCACTTGTATCACACATTAACAAGCTCAATTGCAGAAAATTTACACAAGAGACAAAGAAGCAATGGCATCGTGTCTGTAAGTCACAATTCAATTAATGAAGTTATATCATCAAAACTTTAAAAGATCTAATAGAATAGATTCTTGTGAAATAAACACTCCCTAGCTTTTCTGTTTCTCTAAAGCTAGATTTTCTCAAGTTTGCTTGAGGTAGGGTATATCTGAATTAATTAAAAGGCATTTTAAAGAATTAAGTACCTTTAACAGGAAGGTAGAGCAGGGTTTTTTGTTTTGGGGTTTTTGTTGGTACCGGGAATTGAACTCTGGACCTTGCACTTGCCAGGCAGGTGCATATGCCCCTCAGCTATATCCTCAGCCTAGAACAGTTTTCTAATCATTTTTGTTGCTTGAGGAAGTATAGAATTGAGCCCCAATTAAGTTTCAACTCTTATGAGACTGTTGGGTTAACTTCATTTACTTCATGCAAGGAATGTTGTAGATAATCTCTGTGTGACTTCAATTATAAATAGCACACGTTTCTTTTCAGCCTGCATAATGGAAAATAAAGCTCACAGTTGTTCCATCCAACTCCAGGGATAAAAATCAAGGTCAGAGATAAACCCTTTGCCCCTTTGCAGCGGAACATACCAGCCTTGTCACAGAATGGGAAAAAGAACAACAGGCAAGACAGCGAAGCAGCTAAAAACAGCCTTCATAAAACCCCGGTTCCACCTCATCTCAACACTCTCTCAGAATCAAATCACCTTTAGCAGAAAGCTAAGTAGCTCCACGAGACACAGGCCCATGGAACCGAACAACAGGATAGAGAACAGCTAGCTGTAAAAATAAAGCTCCTTGACTACAGAGCTGCTCTGCTTTCCCCTCTCAGCCTCAAGCTCATACCACATCTGGCTTTTGTTTGATGAATCATAAACTACCCTTTCTTCACCACAGTGATTCATGCACAGAAGTGGAGATACGATGAGCTGTCCCTGCTTGGGACATTAATTCGTTTCTCTCCAGCCTGGAAAATCAGCATCACTTCTGACAGGCTGGTTTCTCCACCGGGCTCTATGTCACCCACCTCACTCCTCCTCGCTCCCCACCCTGGAAGCCTAGGCCCTGCGGCCTCATCACCACACCAGCTCCCCAGTTCCACCTCCCAGTGACCTCCCCAGCCCTTGTCTGTGCTTCCTTAGCTCTGACAGTTACAGTCAAAGCACTTACGTTTCTGCCAGAGCATGGCCTGTGACAGGATGTTGCCTTTTCTCTTTGAAGCAGACAGTTTGGCTTCTTTAATGTGAGACCTGGGTATGCTTTCTTCCAGTGGAACCACTGCTTGCTCTGTGGCTGTTTCCTCGGCTTTTTAAAGGCCTGAGCTCTCGCTGCGTAGGGGCGCGTCATCACATCCTCCCACCTCAGGCACGGGTGCGCGTTTTTTACAGCAGTGCGGCCTGTCACCCCACTGTGTGCATCCTCCGAGGGCCACCGGCTGCAGAGTGCTTCGCACACAGAGCCAACCAGCTGAGACCGACAACCGCACGGCACAGAAAGCCATGGCCACTTGTACCCAGCCTTAGAGAGTGATGTATTGTGTGTGTGTGAGTGTGAGGATGAGGGTGAGGGTGTGTATGCGTGCAAAGGGGGCGAGTACTATGTTAAGCTCTGGACCTCCTTACACAATGAGGAGCCAGAAAGGCCCTCTGGAAAATGCTAGGTTTTCTCTGGTGCTCGTTCCGGGTTGTGCACCAGCGGGACACTGGCAGGACTTAGCCCGCCCTGAGCGCCTGCTCAACGGAAATGCAATTCCCAGGGGTCACTGATTCTCAACAGGGGAGGAAACACCTGTCCTCCTTTCAAGCCTCACTAAACAACCTCCTCATTCTTTTAATATTGCTTTTCTGTTTATTCCACTTTGAAATTCAGTGGCCCCGCCCTTCACCCCAGTCTCCACCAAAAACGGCAAGGCTTAATTTTACTGCAGATCCAGTGGGGGACACTGGTTCTGATGACGGATGGGCCCACAGAAAAAGAGGCACACTCACTTGGGGAAGGAAGAATGAGACACCCAGCTTCCTCAGATGAAGCTGCCTTTTTAAAAGGGACTTACGGGCACCTCAGGAGCAGAGCGTCTCTCACAGTGCCCCCACCCAATTAGCAGGAAGTTCTCAAAAGAGCAGGACTGGGCTTACTCCCAATAGTGTATGGGGGTGAGGCTAAGGTCTCCTTCCCCCTATGCGTGAAGCACATACACTCAGGTTCCCGCGACCCAGTCAGTTTGGTGTCAAGACACCTAGGCTAGGGCCCCCTTGGGTAGGTCTGGGCCTTGCTACTCTGCCCTCCATACTGCCTTGGAGTGATCTTGCACATCCTGGATCTCATCTTGCACGCTCCCTTTTTCCTGTTCACAGGCCACTAGCTAGAAGGCAAAGGGGGTCCTCACAACGGAGCCTTTGTCACCCTCTCCAGCACATCTCCTACTGCCCTCCTCCCACCAGCTAACAGTATCTTCTAGGCACTATTGAACAACCTGGCAATCCTCTACTTTCCCCTTGTTGTCTTCTGATGCTAGGCAACTGCCCCATTTCTCTGTTTAAAACTCACCTCCATTTTTCAAAATCCAGCTCAAATCTTACCATTTTTGGTGAAAAAATATTCTGACTCACCAAACTTCCTATACCAGAAAATATCCATCTGTCTTTCCTCTACCCTTGGAGAATAAACATTAAATGATGGCGGACTGTTGCCTGACTCTACAGGTTCCCAAAAGAGGTTTCCTCTTCATCCCTGCAGTGCTTCACACAGGACCTGAGCACACTGACCACACATAAGAAGAGATCCCAGTAAAAGTTCACTTAATGAAATTATGAATTACAATCTCTCATGGGTTGTTGGTTTGAGGGCAGGTCTTGAGAAGAAATATTGTTCACATAAACAGCTCACTCAGAAGACAGAGAAAGCTCTCTCTTGGCTGACTTAAAGTCCCTCATCAAAATGCCTATGAACTTCAGGACAATGGAGCTGTGCCTTGGAGGCCACACACCATGGCCTGGCCTGGAGGGCAGCCATGTTATAAGGCCTCATACCTGACTGAGAAGATTCCCCTGGAAACAGGGGCACATTCATCCAGCCTGGCTCACTCCCAGGAGACATAGGGCCCCATCTAGCCTCTGCCATTCACTCATTTGATCCTCTTAAATAAGTCACAAAACTCTCCTAGTCTTGGTTTCCATGTTTATGAAATGAAGAAGTGGTTTTCTGACTGCCTCCCAGATTTTTAGGACATGGACCCCACTGGTTCTCTCTCACATCTCTGGGATTTTTGTTATCTTATTCTCTCCAAATCTATGAAATTAATTTTTCTTATTCACCTCTGCTTCTCCTCACAGGTTGAGCATAATGATTTCCATGAACTACAATATTAACACGCTCCCTATTCAGCCTTAAGTACGTTCTCTAATCTAGTCCACACACAACAATTCCATGAGGAAACTTCCAACTGTATTATTCCAAGAAACAAGCTCTTAGGAAATTTGACTTGCCCAATTTCACAGAGGTCTTAGGTTATGGTGTGGGGATCAGACTCAAGTTCATATGACATTTCTTAGTGTAATTATAATATTCATGGATATTCATTAAGTTGGGATGAGTGAAAGCCAGAATGTTTATTCTACTAATACAGGGTCACTATGATTACAACCTGGAGCAGATCAGCAGAAGTTTATATCCTCTAGAGTAAATCCCTGTGCTCTGGGAAAAGAGAGGAAAAGAAGAGATCCAGAAGACCTCTGATGGATCAGATTCTGTCCATTAGCAGAGACAGTCAAATAACAGAGGTAAGAAAAAACTAACACTTGGACACATTATAATGCAATTTTAAAACTACTAACATAATGAGGAAATTCTAAAATCTTACTGAGAAAAAGAGATTATTAACAACTGAAGATCAAGAACCATGACAGTTTACTTCTGCACAGCAAGACTAGATGCAAATGACAATATTACTTACAATGACATAATATTGTTAAAGTACAGAGGGGAAAAAAAAAACTGAACCTATCATTTTAAATCCCGCCAAACTGTCATTCAAATACTGTACCATAACAAAAATATCCTCAGACCTTCAAGGCCTCACATTAAAATTGCTCTTAGAGGAAGTAATCAAATGAAAAGGGTTACCTGGGAGGATGTGGCAAAAAAGAAAAAATCCAAACAAAAGGTCATCAAATACCTAAGTCAAAGTAATTATAAGAATTATAACCAAAAAAACTAGAGCAAAAAGAGAAAATTCATTCATAACAACTCAGAACAAAATATTTAAATATATCAACACATTGTACAAATCCAAGGGACATCATTGACATTCCATTGTATTTAATTTTGTGATCTGTAACTCCAGATGAAATCAAAGGGAAATTTAATTGTACAAGGGTTTTTGTCACATAGAGAGGAAAATACAGGATGACATCCTTTATCTGAACTGTTTAGGACAGGAAGTATTTTCAATTTCAGATTTTTTGGAATATTTGCATATACATGAGATATCTTACAGGTGAGACCGAAGTCTAAAGAGTAAAGTCATTTATATTTCATCTACCCTATATATACATAGGATGAGGATGACTTTATACAACGTTTTTATGTAATGTTTTGACTGCAACTTGTCACATGAGGTAAAGTATGGAATTTTCTACTTGTGGTGTCGTGTCAACATCCAAAAACGTTTATGATTTTGAAGCATTTTGGATCTTGGCTTTTTAGATCAGGGACGCTCATCCTGTACAGCTGTAGATAAATTTAAGAAATCAATAGCAGGAAATAATCATAAGTATAGACTTAAAGTAACGGGCAACCACCACTTTTGCCCAACTATCAAAACAGAAATACAGTGTTTTATTTTTAAACCAGCTAAATAAAACTGGACCTTCCTGTGGAAAATGAGAAAGGAGTATATTAAGAAATACAATGAACAGAAAACAGAAATAAGGGGACAGTTGTTTGAATAGCACAGTAATCATAATGAATATAAAAAGAGTAAGCTTATCAGTAAAGAGACACAGATTTCTGAACTGAATTTAAATACTTTAACAATCCAACAATGTGATGTTATAATTGAAAGAAACACAGGATATTTGCCAGTGAAAGACTGAAGTAACTTTGGTTCTAAAACTAGGTAAGGTCAACATAAGAAAATTATAGGCCATTTAATATGAAGCATAAATTCAAAAATCCCAAATATTAGTTTGCAGAATTCAATAGCATACTAAGAAATAATAATAGATAATTATAACAATATGTAAGATTCAACCCTGGAACACTAGGATAGTCTACTCTTAAAAAATCTATCAATATAATCCACCATTCTGATGAACTGTGAATAAAATCTATTAAATTACTTCAATTAAAGCCTAAACACTTGATAAAGCCCAAAATGCATTTATAATTTCAGATACATAACTCTTAAAAAATAGAACTAGGGGGAAATTTCCTTAGCTTGACAAAGTACATACCAAAAATCTACAGTGATATTAGATAGAATGGAGAAATTATAAACAGATTCCTTTAAAGAATAATTGTCCTATTGCATTATGTGATTAATTCCAAACATTTCTGTCTATAATGTTCAGAATCACATGTATTAAACAGACACCAAATAAACATATAAACTGCGCATGTAATTATGCCATATACTATTTTAGGGTTTAGGGAGGTAGCAATAAACAAAACATAAATTGTGTGCATCACATAGTCTGATAACTGGTGTTGTGTAGACAGGAAATCCGTATAACCTTTTGATAAATGATTTGTCATCAATGCAGATGTGGACAGACTAGAGCAGTGTGGCCAACCTATGGCACACTTGCCACAGTGTCATGCAGAGCCCTCTCTATTAGCACATGAGGCAAGTCACCCCAGTAGCCAGGCATCAGATAAGAGTCTAAACTAAAACCTTATTATTCAGGTTTAATTGCAGTATTGGCACTTTGTGCTAAATAAGTAGATTTGGGGTTGCAGTTTGGGCACCTGGTCTCTGAAAGGTTCGCCATCAGTGGACTAGAGCATAGAAAAATTGATGGCCTACAGGTTTAACAATCAGGTCAGAAATGAAGGGTAAGTGTTAAAGTCAGATCTGTAAAGAGAATTTCCTGACCTTAGAGCTGGGAGCAGACAGGAGGACCAGTGGGATTTTAAAGAGTGACTATGAATCCAATGTACCATACATACAAACATTTTCTGTGGGAGATAGACTGTAGAGTTTGTGAGAGTCCCAAGTTAAGAATCACTATTTCTTTTAGAGAAGTACTGTGATTTCAAAATTTTAAATATATGAAAGAAAAATTGCTTAATTCCAGCTAGAACAATAATGGGTTCCAAGACAAAATGGGTAATCCACAGGTAAAATATCAAACTCCATTGCTGACTACAGGAAATTTCACATTCCTTTACAGATGGAGTAAGTTAAATCCATTTCTCATTTCTCTATCCAGTCTATATCATTTTACCCTTTCGCTATAAGTTCCCTCTAGGGGCGGCAACACAGGATAGTAAAGAAATTATTTAGAGTCAGAGAGCCTAGTTTGCAATCTAGCAGCACTGCAAGCCCTGGAGCTTTGTGCAAGTTGTTTAGGCTCTCCTACCTGTACTATCTTCCTCCTCCAAATTGAAATTAATAGTGATAATTATTGCAATGATTAAATATAATAGCCTAGGGTTTTCTCTTTTGTTGTTTTTTTTTGTTTGTTTGTTTGTTTCCAGTACCAGGAATCAAACTCACAACGTCGCCCTTGCCAGGCAGGTGCTGTGCTGCTGAGCTAAATCCCCAGCCCCAAGCCTAGGGTTTTCTACACATACTAATTTTATTATTTGATTCAGATCAAGAGACCACATAACTGAACTCCCTTTGATATTTTTGCTCTCAAAATTCCTGTGTGCTAGAAAGCCCTTCGGATCGTGCCAAGTTCTACTTTTCCAAGAAAAGTCATCTCCGCTATCCTTACCGAAGGAGTGGCTGGATTCAAATCTTGTCTGATCTTCTCAGGTTCCCAACCACCATCTGCAAATATAGCTGACAGCTGCAGAACAGCTCCTTATCTAAAAAAAGGTTTTCATGATTGGGATTTTCAGGTTTATGGCACCTTAAAAAGACGTTATGGTAAGGCATTATGAAAAAGAAATCTGATCAAGTGAGGTTTGGATCAACCTGAGTAGTCTGGATGGAGGTCAGTGTTTAGAAGCAAGGGCTTTATGGTATGTAACAGCCTGTCCTATGGCCAACTAGAGAGTACCAATCTCTTGTCACGGCCATTCTTGAATGCCCTTGGCACGAGAGAGATGGCCTCCAGTCACACTGACAAATTCCCATCAAAATAGGTATCTAGCAGGTGTCTGTGCTGCATTTTGTAGGTGAGAAAACCAAGAATTAGGTGGTTTTCATTATTATAGTCCAGGACTGCCATAAATTATCTCAAAAGATAGTCAAGAAAGCCTGGTGGTCATTACATTGGTTTTTTCCGGTACCAGGAATCGAACTCACGACCTTACGATTGCCAGGCAGGCACTGTGCCGCTGAGCTAAATCCCCAGCCCCATTATCTTTGATGTTACTATTACCACCAAACTTTGGAAAATAACTTTTGTAAAAGAAAAATTCTCCTATTCTACCCACCACATGGTCCTTCTAAGGCAGAATGACTTTTTTTTTTTTTTGCATTATCATTGTTTGTCATCACATGCCACTGAATAATGGGCTTTATTTATTTGCTATTTTTGCTGTAACAACAGTACCTCCCCCCAACTCCCTGCACGATTTTTGGAAACCTTGAGAAATATCTCCCATGATATTTCTATAAATACTTATTAAGCACAAACTCCATGCTGGGAATTGTGCTGGATATAAGGACTAATAAAGTAAGGAAGTCCCTGTGTTTAAGCAAGTGATTACTGGTAGGAAGAAACTGAAGTCCCACGACATTTCCTAGAAAATGGTTCCCACCAAAATTACACAGGATACTTATTATGGAGAGATAGTTATCCTCCTGAGAACCTGATTCAGGTCCAAAGTGGTCCGTAACTCTGTCGGTTGGTTTGGGGGGGACGGGGTTAGTTTTTTTTTTTAAACAAGCATTTCAGGTAACAGTGCTTTAATATTTAGGAAGCACTAACCTAGACAACCAAAAACTGGCCTTCCTTTCTTCTCAAGAGCCCCTCTTCTATCTATCCTCTTTCAAGTCTCCTTCATTGGAATGCCCCTAGAAAGCTTTATTAAAAGAAAAATAAAAACCTCCAGTTTAAGCATTGCATGGAACATTCCTTTGTCTAGCAAATCACACAATCATTTCTCCAGCAGGGAGCCTGGCACCGTGAATGCTCTGCGCTCAAAAATGATTGTATTCCTGTTGTACCCCATGGAACACTGACCTGGTGGCCCACTCTGCCTCGCAGGCCTCTCCTGCTTTTCTGTATAGCATTCAAAATCCTCACTGCTTTTCTGTATAGCATTCAAAAGCCGGCAGTGACAGAACTTCCTCAAAACACAACTATCAGGGGTGCTTTTGGCCTGACCAGCTACAGACCAATGCCCTGTTCCCCCTTGAGCTATAACTCAAAACGAGTGAAGTAAAGTAAGTTTGCCCAATGACAAGCAATGCTTATCAATCATCTTTTCTTCTGAAGATGCAACAAAGGAAACTCCTCTTCCTCTTCCTGAAACACCATGCCCCCCAGTGACTCAGGTTTTTACCAGCTGTATTTCATGATTTCTGCCCAGGCACTATGGAAATAGGAACAGCAATAAAGCCGAAGTCCATTTCCTTGTGAATCAAAAGGAGTTTATTACAAAAAGGCAAAGGCGCCAACATGTGAGCACAAGTCTATTTGCATGCGTGGCATGCTCCTGGGCAACTTTCGGTCATGGGTGGAACTAGAGGGCCAGCAGCTGCACTGATGTTTTTTTTTGAACTGCCGCTTCTTTAACTTGATGGGTGAATAACTTCAATCAATGAATGAATGAATGAATCAAGAGATTGAGAAGACAGAAGAGACATAAAAATAAAAGATAGTAGAGGAAGAAGAAAATAGGAAGAAAAATGGGTAGAAAAGAGAAGAAGGCAATTCAAAGTTGTAGACATCTTGAAAGTCCAAAAGAAAAAGAAAAATGCCTACAAATACAGAGCAGTTAATTTAATTAAGGAGGATTTCTACAAAAGGCGTTTGTTGGTCATGCTGACACCAGCCTGAGACAAGTAAATAAAGTAAGCTAAGCCTAGTTCATGTAAACACAGAGACAAGGCCAGATACTGATATCTAATCAACATTCAGGTGTCCATGCTCCCCTGATCCAGGCAGCTCTATGGCCACCAAAGTGTACTACACCAAGCACATGGTAAAAGCTATACGTGGTAGTCATTATTATTGTTATTATTATTTTACTAATAATGAATATGATTTTGAGCCTGGTGTCTACCGGTTTATGTGAGGAAAATACCCCCCAAAAGTAATACGTATAACAAGAACACAATAAAGGTAAATTGACTGGAAGGAGTACTATTTTCTAAAAAATAAATAAAACTCCTTTAATATGATTCATAAATAGGCTCAGTCATATGATAGGGTGGGGCAGAAAAGGATAGAGGATAGCACAATTCCAGAAATTCCACATGGGTCTTCCACCTCCAAAGCCAATAGAGCTAAGGGTTCTGGAGCACTTCCAATGCTTTGAATACTTCACAAATATTAGTTCATTTAATATTCATAAAAATGCATTCAAAAATGAGCTTCATTTTACATAAAGAGACAGTGTGAGGTTAAGAAACTTAGCTAAAGCTGAAAGCCAGGAGTCTAACCTAGGCAGTCTGACTCCACTGCATCGGTCAGCACATCACACTGTCTCTGTGTAAGAGTTAAGTCCCAAACAGTCACTTATTCGCCCTTCCATTCATTTACGCATTCATTCAGCCATTCATCCTGCAATTATTTGCTAAATGTCATCCTGTCGCTACCCAGACTGTACCGGGCATTGAGGACATAGCTGTAAACAAAAAGTAAGCTCCCGATTCATAGAGTTTGCATTCCTGTGGAAGTGGAGAACAAGTAGAAGATAGACTATCTTCCCGCCGGAACAAAGAAAGCAGTAGACCGAAAGTATTTCTCAAAATTAACATCCTCAGACACATTCAAACAAGCAGTCCTAAAATCCCAGCTGAGGGATATAGGTAAAAAGCACCAACAGCATTAAACCCAGATACTCCACATTCAGCAAATATAACAAATATCAGCCGAATGCCTCCCACTGCCTTGATAACGACAAAGTACAAACTGAACTCAGGGAGGCCCAGGTTCAGTCAATTAGATCACTAGAAGGAAGAACCAGGGCTCTGGTGAGCTTACCACTCTGTCTATAGATTCCTCTGAAAGATTTGACTAGAGTGAGTCGGGAAGCTAAAACTCTGAAGAGAATTCTGCATATCCTAACTCTCCCCCTTCAGAGGCTCCCAAGTCCACTTGGGCAGTCCAGGATGCAAGTCAGACAACTTATCTCCCTGAAACAAGACAGCCATTGTGTACCCATAGTATGGACTTGGTCAACACTCTCCAAAGCAGAGCCCAAGAAAGGAGATGTGGAAAAAAGAAAAAAGAAGAAAGGAGATGTGCTAGGAGGAAGGAGTGTTGACCAGGGCATATGACCTATGCTCAAGTTCCACCTCATGCTGCAACTCTGGGAGCTCCATCCACCTTCATAACGTTTCATGAAATTTGAACTCAACCCCTTTTTCTTAGCAACACTCAGGGTAACACTAAAAGACTCCGTAATAAAAAGCAATTAGGAATTTGATTTCTGAAATCAGATCTGGATTACATCCCAGCACTAATACTTAAAACGGAATCTTGAGCAAAGTACTCAATATTCTGTCCCTCAATTTCCCCGTCTATAAAATACAGATACAATAATTCCTCACCAAGCTGCTGTGAGGATCAAATTAAATACAGCCTGAGAAGACATACCCTGTCCGTGCTGGCTACTGTCTTAGTAAATACTGAGCCAGGAGCCAAACCAGGAACAGGTCCAGAGAATGTCAAGAGTGGGGAAGAAGAACAGGCAACCAAGTCCAGCTCATTCCTGTGATCTGTGAGACCTGCCTCTTCCATACATGGTATTCAAATGAATGCCAGATGTCTGGCCCACCTCTACTGCATCCTCATTTCTATTCCACATGTGCCCACTCTGATACCCTCCTTGGACATTTGTGCCCAGCTCCATGCCTGGGCTAAGAGCCATGCCTCCTACCCAAATGAATAATGTCAGGAATGGTCATCTGGTGATAAAACTCCTCCCACTCACAGAGGCACGGGCCTGCCTTTGTTGGCCCAACAGTGTTAACACGGTGGGTGAGCCCCAGCACACTCACGGAAGCGTTCATCCCACATACAGAGATGGACAGTAGATGTGGTATTCTGTCCATTACGTCTCTCTCCCTCAAAGCTGCTTCATCACAGCTTAGTGTCTCTGGTTCAGAAGAACTGGCTCCTGGATTGTGAGGCCATGAAGTAAGGAAAAGTCCAAGTGGTCTGGATAGAGTGGAAAACTCTTCCGGGAATGGAGAGGGCAGTCCTCAAACACAACCAGGAAGTGAAGAAGAAAATGACAAGGCTGGGGAGGCTGGGGCTGGGACATCGAGCCCCAGCTCCTGCCTTCCTTGAGGTGCCCGGAGGCTCTGCTGCAGGTGCAGTCAGATGCGCCAGGGGAGGCTGGCTTGGGGTCCCATGTGGCTTCCTGCCTGGACAAACACACCTCCGCAGCCCGGTGGGCCGTCGCCCCGCCGCGGGCCCCTCGGGCAGCGCTCACACTGGCCCATTGTTCTTCCGCCCGTTGCCAGCTCTTCGGCTCAGCACTGTGCCCAGCAACCGCAGCAGAGCCTTGCCTGGTCCGCACACCCTGAGCGGGTCCCGGACGCAGTGCTCTCAGACTTACAGGTACCGCAGAATCTTAACCTCCTCTATTTCAGGGGCCTGCAAGCCGGGCAACAGACACCAAAAGAGCATGTTGCAGAAAGGCCATTCCATTAACCAAGGTCTCCTGCTGATTTCCACCCTAGAATCTTAGTCGTTTACATGAAAGCAGATCACCAAGTACAAAAACCAGAGAGGAAAAAGGGCTCCAACTCCAGTGAAAAAGACTGGGTCTCTCATACTTCGGCTTTCTTGCCCCTCAGTCCGGTCAGCCCCACAAGCATCCCCAGAGATGGTTTACCCTCTGCCATACCCCTTTAAACTCAGCCTTCAAACTAACATCATTTAGACTGACAGGAAGACAGACTTCCTGCATGACCTCCACCTCCCCAGCCAGGTCTACTGGCTGGTACAGGTATCTCCCAGAAGCCTCCCCACAGAGATGCCTGTCTTCGCTAGGCCTGCCTGGTCCAGACCTGATGCTGATGTTGGAGGCCACAGTTTCAGTGCTGGGGCCCTTCAACCTCCTCCCCAGCTCCTATCCAGAATGGTGGGAGGGGGACTTTAGGTAGCAATTTAAACCTGAGACTGGAGGGCAATTTAGGTAACTCCTGGCATAAGAGCAAAATACTTCTGTGCTAAGAAGCAGCAAGCTGGGGATTCTTGGAATGGGAATGGATTCGATGGCCCTTTCTAGTACATGGAATTTCTAAACTGCCTTCGGACCGGGTGATGTTCTGAAATCTATTCCACCCTGATTTATGGGGTGACCAGTCAGTGAAGGAAGGCCCACTGCACATCCCCAAAGCAGAGCCTCAGTTCACTCTGCTCTTCTTGGGCTTCTTCCAGGCCCACCCCACATGCCCCTCCAGCTAAGTCCACCCATGTGCCCTATTCTGCTGCAGTTCCAGCCGGTACAGCACAGAATGACCACTTATTAAGATGGGAACATTCGTTATTCCCTCACTCTTTATCAAAAGCTAATGTGATTTCCATATGTCTGAGTTTCCATTGATCTCCTCCGAAAGGCAAGACACATTGAAACCATAAATGTCAATGCAGCCACAATACCAATGGTTCATACCCATCCTGGCCTGCAATATAGTTCTGTGCATTGGTCTGCTTACTTCCCAACATCCTTCCAAGTCTGTCCTAAGCATGCATCTTTCACAAAATTACTTCCAGTCCTTTTAGTGGGTTCATGATTCCACCCTTACTTCTAGATAGGTGATCATAATGCTATGAAATCTTCATTGAACATTCAAGTAATCTTGTTTGTTTCCATTACTTAATTGATGTCTTGTGGGCAAGGATCAAGCCTTCTTCAAATCTCTCATAGTCCCCAGCACTGTGTTTTATATTGTGATTTTCACACTGTTGGTATTCCATTAGTACTGGTTGACTGACACGTGCAGTTGGCTAGGTCTCCATAGCTGTCATAGATCTGTTGCATTCAGAGAAACAAAACTAGGGCTGAAAAAGAACATAAGAATAAATACACATTTAATCTCTTAATTTCTTAGTTCATTGCATATTTTCCCTATGCAAATATTCATAAATTTAATCTGCATGACAGAAATCTCCTGCCTCTCAATACCCACAATTCTCCTTCCAATTCACTTCCAAACTGCAGCCAAAAATCTTATTTTTCATGCAAATCTATCGTCTTCCCCTGCTTTAAACCCCTCAGAGGCTTCCAATTGCCTGTAGGCCCTGGTCCAAATCCATCTCACTTCCTAGGCCCTCCAGGTCTGGACTTGCCGCCTTTCAAACTGCATCTCCTATCACATTCCACCATGCTTTCTAGGATCAGGCCTATTCAGCCTGCAGTTCTGAAAACCTCCATACCAGGGTCTGTCTACGCCAAGTCTTTATACCTATCCTCACACAGACCCCACCATCTCTTTCCTTCCCCTGCCCTTCAACTTTCAGTTTCCAGATTAAACATCCCTTACTTGGAAAGCACTTAGCAGAGCCCCAGACATACGATCTAACCACTTGCTAGATGTTTGCACAGCATGCTTTATCTCCTCTTCATTAGCAGGCTTCTTGCTTGCTTGCCCTTCTAGATCCTGTGGCTACAGAGAGTGTCTGTCTTCTTCATTTTGATATCTCCAGTACTAAGATTAGTGCTCACTGAATAGGATTGAAATGTTACCATATTTTAGCCAAATGTTCGGGAAGTCTTTCCTATTTATAATGTTTGCAGGCCAGGAAGACGCTGTATTTCAAGTGAGTGCTTTGGGATGACTGTTTCTGAGATAAAATTTACACTTAAATAGTGTGCAAAAGAATTCCATAGCCGCTAGTTCCGTACAGTTTAGCTTAACAAATAAATTATTTATTTCTACTACCACAACCTTACTCTCCCCTCCCCATCCACAACCTCATTTGTGGTCTGAGGCTTGGGGATCCCAAGAAGGAAGGAGGGTAGCCATGACCACAGACATAACCACTTCCAATTATCACTATTACCCAGTGTGTCACTGCCGTTTTAGGTAAATCATTCCTACCCTTACTACTGCGAAAAATGGTTCTCACTCTGTGATTATCTACAAATCTGTGGTGCCTTCAGCAGACCCAGAGCCACCAAAGATGACTTGGTGTGTACACAGTTGGCCAACCACAGGTGGAAAGCGGCTTCACAGGGCATTCCTGACATCTACCCACACTCCTTCACTCTGTACTAACGTGTCTCAGATATACCTTGGCCCTTTGGTTTAAAGCAGTGGCTCTCAAGTCAGCAGCAGCAGCAGCAGCAAACATCAGAATCATGTGGCAGATTTAATAAAATGCAAATTGTTATGCCCCATCTCCAGAATTTCTGCCTCAGGACATCTAGTTCAGGCCTGAAATTTTGCATTGCTAAATGCCCAGATGATGCTGAGGCCACTGACCCAGGAACCACAGAGTGAAAACCTCTCACTTAAACAGGGAATGGTTTTCAGCCCTGGTCGTGAATGAGAGTCACTTGTGGAGCTTTTTCAGTTTTAGGGTGTGAGTGGGGCCTGGGATTGTGTATTTTACAAATGTATCACAAGTGATGTAGACCCGTGACAAAGACTGAGCACCTTGCATAAATGTTTAAAGGTAATGTTCCCTATTAGGGGCTAATGCTTTAAGGTAGAATCATTTATTATATGTGTTAGTATGTGGGGTTTTTGGGGTTTTGTTTGTTTTGTTTTCTTGGTACCGGAAATTAAACGCGAGACCTTGCGCTTGCCAGACAGACGCTTGTGCCGCTGAGCTATAACCCCAGCCCCTGTATGTGTTAGTATGAATGAGTTCTTGAGCGGTTTTAATGGAGGGAAAAGAAGTACTAGGTTCTGGAGCTAGAGGGATGTGTGGATGAGGCACACCCAGAGGACGTGAACGGAGGCAGTGAAACTCCATCTTTAGTCGCTTCCCATGGTGGGTTGTCCAGACTGTAGAAGCCCTTTGCAGGAAGTGCCCTTAAAGCTACAATTCTCACCTGCCTTGGAGGCTCTTACTGTCTTTGGCTCTGCTTCTTGTAAGACTTTCAAGACTGTAAAAATGGACTGTGTGAAAAATCCAGCTGATCAGACATTCTGCCTCATCCCCTGGACACCACGTATTCTGTGGCCATGGGAAAACTCTTCCCTGGGCCTCTTGTGTACTTTGTGTTCCAGAGAAAGAATGGGAAACACCCAAATATGAATTTGATCATGGCTCCTCTTGTATATAAGCACTAATTAGGTCTTAAACTTCACAGCTTTCACTAGAAGAAGAGACAGACCTCATTAGCAGAGAAAATTCAGCCAGATGCTTACCCCGATGCTTTTTAACTCCAGATAAAGTAAGTGGTGGGATTTGGGAGAAATATTTTTGTCAGTTCCTTCTCCCTGATGCAAGCTTTGAGTATCACTGCCCTTTGAGAAAGTCCAACCTATTTCTTTAGCCCCTTCCTGGCTTTAAACTGGCTCGGTCTTTTAAGGGAGTTGCTCCCGTTGTTCCTGGAACAGCAAACTCTGAGCACGAACTCCAAACTGAATAGAGAGGTTCCACTTTCAAACCACAGCATCTCCAGCCCGGAATGAGCCTGGATAGAAGGGGAATGAGACTTCCAGGCCATAGCTGAGGTTGGTGGAACGGGATTCAGGGAAGTGGAGAGAAGACATGAGATCCTCCTGCCCCCAGGGTGGCAGATAGCTGTGTGGGACCAGGGCATGGAGGTGTTTACAAAATGTGTTTCCCTCAATCTTGTGTTGTCCTAAGAATGGCCTAATACAGACCTTATTCTTGATCTTCAGAAAGGAAGGGGGGACCCTGGAAAGAACTGGGATGGAAAGCAGGGAGAAGAAAATGGTTGTAACAGAGAAACTTAGACCCAGGAGGCCTGGGATTCCTCTTACTGGATGAGTAAGCAAGATATAAGACTTAAGACTTGTACATCATTAAACCAAAATTAAATGCCAACAAAAACCACTGTATTGCTATGTCTATTTTCATAGTTACTGAATTAGATTATATTCTCCATGAGAATGCCCATCACAGTATCTTAACTGAGGACAAGCATTTCAAAGGTATGTATTGAGTGAATAAATGAATGGTGCTATTGTGGGCTTTGCACAAAGATAATTAGAGAAATCCAACCCATACTTTATTGAAACATAAAATCTAAAAAGGTATAAATTTAAGAAAATTGGGGCCAGGGATACTGCTCAGCAGCACAAGTGCCTACCTGGCAAGCACAAGGTCCTGAGTTCGATTCCCAGTACCTTAAAAAAAAAAAGAAAATATATAGATATATTTATATACAGTATAATACATACACTCACATGTCAGAAAGTATAATAATACTAGTAAGCCAAACTGAGAGAAAGGAAATTCTATGTCAGTAAGGATGGTTGCCTATTTTTCTTCAGTGCTATATAATCAACACCTAGAACAGGTTTGGCACTAATAGAAACTGAACAAATATTTGTTCAGTAGATGAGTGGATTATGCCTCCTACAGCAGCCAAAGCTGTGCCTTCCAGATCCTTCCACAGCTGGTGTGTAGGAAGACAGGGGTTCCCACAGAGCCTTGTCAGCCATCCCAGCCCAGAGGCGGGTTGGCATATGCTGTGTGTCTCTCACTGGCCTTCAGTGGCCTTTCCGAGTCCATGATGTGTACAAAAGACTGTGTTTTTAGCCAAAGTGAAAAAGAAACAGCAAAGGAAAAAAATGAATACCACATCACAAATGCCACCACACAGTCATTTCCACATCACAAGTTGTGTGGACTTGGTAAAGAAATTCAATGGAACCGGATAGCTCTTTGCAGAGTGGAGCTTTACATGAGAGCCCCCAGGCAAAAGTTTCAGATTGAGTTCCTTTACCCCTCTGAATTTCCAAATCAATATCTCTTCAGAGAAAGACTTCTCTTGTGGGGGCCAGAGTGCTCACACGGCCTTTATGTTCCTCTTCCTATGGGTTCTTAGTTAGAGCCTGTCTCTGGACAGAGCACCGGGAATTTCTCTACTTCAGAAAACCTCAAAGTATAGTTGCAGGTTACGAAGACAAAGCACAGTTGTGTACACAGAAGTGTATCTGAGATGTGAAAAGGAAATTAACTGTGCTTTTTACACTTCAGAATCCCACGCTCAAACACTTCTGCCCTCTTCCAGGCACTCCCATTACGCAGTACTCACATTGAGATGAAGACTCTTCTCTTCACCGTGACCCTATAATTCCTGGGGAAAGACATGACTTGCCTAGATGGATGTGCCCTTGCCTGCATTGTGGTAAGGGAGAGAGAACTCAGTGGCGTGTTTCTTCTCAGGGCCAGACCTGTGAGTTGCAGAGGAAGGGATCTGAGAAGGATCCAAAAGCCCATCCAACCAAAACTAACTTCCTTCCTCTCCCCCCACAGAGCCCACAGCTGTCTGTATTAATTTTCAGCAACTTACCTCCTTACCTCCTGAAAAAATGTATTACCTGGGTGCTATGACAAATTAAACCCCTGTCATACAGGGAGAAATTGGTATTTGATTAATCAAGTCATCTTAAAATGTCCCAAGGAAATGGGCCATGGAATGTACTGATTAGATGACAATGATGGTATTGATGATGACAGTGGTGATACTGGTGATGTTAATTATAGTGATGATAATGATGGTGATTCAAGAATATTATTAGGGCTAAATAAGAGAAAAGCATCATTTTAGATGTTACTGTTCGATATACTATGGCCAGTTATTATGGCTATCATACTGTGAAATATCGTTACGAGCCCTCACATTCACTTTTATATATCCATCTTGTAGGTGGGAAAAGCTAAAACTCAAGGAGATTGACTACCTTGTCCAAAGTCACCCAGCTAGGAGATAAAGGGCTAAAACAAAGACATGAAATGGTGCCCTAGACCACACACCCAAAACATCCGGGGTTAGGGAGCAATTTGGGGCCCTAGGAAAGGTAAGAACATACCACCAAAGGAGTAGGCAGGGAATCTTTTGACTCAAGAGCTGGGCCCAAGTGGCCCACCTCACTATCTCAGTTATTACTCAAGGGGCAGCAGACCTCAAATTAACTTCTCTACCACCTCTGATAAAGAAATACATAAGAAAAAACAAAGTTGTTTGTTTCAGTGAATGAGGCAGAAGCTTCCGAGTGAAGAATGAATATTCTTTTACTTAAAACTATCTCCTTTAGGAGAAAAGACCAGTCATCCACACTGGGTACAATGTTCCCAAGAAAACAGAACTTTGAGAAAAAGACCAGGAAATGAATGGGACATGATCAGCAGCATGCTCCACTCATTTCACAGTATCATTTTCCATGGAATAGCTTCAGGTGTTATCACATTATCATTTAATATTAACATCTTGTTAGGGGCTGGGGATTTAGCTCAGCGGCAAAGCGCCTGCCTGGCAAGCACAAGGTCGTGAGTTCGGTTCCTGGTACAGGAGAAAAACCAAAAAAATATATATATATATTAACATCTTGTTATATTAGCCCGTTTTTCACCTATCAGATCTTTTCAATTAGATTGCTAACTCACTGTAGACAGAGACCATAATTCTGCTTCTTCTTCTTCTTTTTTTTTGTCTTTTTTGAGACAGGGTCTCGCTATGCCGTTCAGACTGGCCTTAAGCTCACTTTGTAGCCCTGGCTGGCCTCAAACTCATAACTATCCTCCTGCCTCAGCCTTCTGAGGGCTGGAATTACAGGCGTGCACCACCACACCTGGCCATAATTTTGCTTCTGTTACATATCATCCCCCTCGACTACACTAGGCAGGTGATGCTTGGTGAATGTGGTAGGTGCTTCATGAGTTTTGTGGTCTTATTTCTTCAGTCATTGCTTCTGCAGCAGGGTCAGCTGTTTGGGAACAACGGTGGAGACTGAGACATCAGAACCATGAGAAATGATAGTGGTGGCGTTCAGGGATAGGTTCTTATTGCCTAGAGTGGGGTTGGGCTCACTGGGACCCTGTTGCCCCAGATAAGCTGCTTTCCAAGTAGACTCTTAATAACCATCTATCTTTATCAGGTGACCGTTAGATGGGTCTCTGCCTGTACCCAAGCTATCAGCTCTGCCTCCTGCAACTGCAGTGCCTCACTGCAAAAACAGACTGTACGTTCTTATTCCACTGAGCTTCTGAACTGCTTTCCCCACTGACGCATGCCTTGCACACTACACTTCCTTTTCCCCAATCTCTTGTTTGCAGCCTAGGTAGGCTGTTCAGATATAGCCTACTTAGTTGAACCAGAAATGAGCAAGAGGTGAGGAGGGCTTTGAGAACAGGGCAATGGGCTGTGGGTACCTGAGTACAGAAAAGCTGGCAGCCTCCTTGTTGGAGTTAGCCTATGCGTTCTGCTTATGGTATCTCCTTCATAGGGGCATTCCACAAACAATTACCAACCCAGAGCCAGGCACTGGGGAGGTGACAAGAATGAAGCAGATATAGGCAGCACGTTTGCAAAACTCATAGCTCAGGGAAGCTGACAATGTCCACACACCGCGAGCTCTAATACTACAGGCAGCCTACTGCATTTCAAATCCTGCTCCTGCTCCTGCTGAATTGCCTTAGGCAAGTTACTTAACTTCTCTGTACCTCAGTTTGTCTCCTATGAAATTTAGACACCAAGTGCATACATGTATTACAGGAAGTAACATATATATCACTCATATAACAAGGTATACATAGCACATGATAAACAAGTAAAAGTTAGTAAAAGTTATTATTACCAGTAAAAGTTATTATTACTTAGTAAAAGTTATTATTACCACACATCATATATTATTATATTCTATTAAATATATAACATGTACTATAAATACTACAGTATACATACCACATATATCATATTGGTATCTAGTATATGTATATATAGTATGTTGTATAAATGGCATATAGCATATTATTACATTAAGATGATTACATATCACATGTACTATAAATACTACAGTATACAGATCACATATATCATATTGGTATCTAGTATATGTAGTATGTAGTATAAATGGCATATAGCATATTATCACATTAAGATGATTATATATCATTATTACAAGATTCTGTAGTAACACCAAGGAAAGAGTGATTATTTTTGACAAGGTAGGTAAATATGTCGTTGTAAAACAGCACAGTCATTATTTGTTGAGGAACATTTGTGGGAGGAAATGATGCACACCTGAGACAAAGAGGTCAAAACAGAGAGTCTCTGCCTGAGGATGGGAGTGCCAGAGGGAGCCTGGACAGCCTGGGGACTTTTTCTTTACCAAGAAATTCAGACTCAGACAAGATTACAACACAGAAGCTAACGAAATCATCTTCAGGTCCACGCCGCTGAGATCCCCATGCATTAATTCATTAACCCAAGAGTCCTTTCCTATGAACATAACATGTTCCTCCTGGTAGATGTAGACATAAGAAGAATCACTACTTTCTATTGATAGCGGCTTTAAGTAAGCGAATATTATAAGACAGTGAGACTCACGCTATTATCCAGGCACCGTGAGGTGTCTGGGGAGAACTGAAGAGGGATGCCTAATCAGCTCACAGAGGATGGCTGAAGGCGGGATGCTGTGACCTCTGAGATGCATTGTAAAGAAGTGGAAGGCAGCGTTAACCCAGGAAAGAAGGAAGGGTAACGTCTTTTCAAAAGGAAAAGTTGGAAATGGGAGTTGACGCAGATGCTTGTGGCTATGGAAAGCTGACAGCACACTCATCTTTCTCTATGATCTCTGAGAGGGATGGGAGAGGTGGCACAAGAAAGAAAAATCTTAAAAATCACCTGTTTACCTTGGCCTTGACAGTTGAGTTCTGGGTGTCTAGGGTAGGGTTTGGACATGTGGCTTGGTGAGACCCTGGTGCCCCAAATAAGCATTTTTCTGAGTAGTGGAAAGTGCCACTTGCCTCCACTGTACAGCTGCTGGCATCCGTTCTGAAGTCCAGAAGCAGAGCCCAGATCAGAGGGTGTCACAGCAAATACTGGAAGGTGATTCTGTGAGTAGGTTCTGACCGAAAGTGAGGAGACAGATATGAGCAGGCATGATGGATGTCTTTCAGGAAGACATCTGAGCCTGTCTTTCAGGAAGAGCCTTCTGAGCGCATGGCAAAGGAGGCCGTGAATCTACCTGGGAAAACACATCCTTCTGCATTACAACTGCAGACGTATAGATGCAGCTCCAGCCACACCAAGCTGCACTGTACCTTCCCACCCCCGCTTCAGCCAGCTGTGGTGCTGTGGTATCCTTCCATCCGCTCCCTTCGATCAGCAAAATGTCACCGTGGGAGCAAACTGACAGTGAACGTGTCTTTCATTTGCCAGTTACTCATGTATCACTTGTAACTGTTCTTCTGTATGATTTATGTGTGTTATTTAGGTGTGGGTGTGTGTGAGTGTGTGTGTATGCACACAAACGTGCATGTGTGTGATTTAACTTTTCCTTTATTTGCAGCTGGTATCCCCACTCAATTTTCATCAAGTTTCACATGGGCCAGGATTGTCCTGTATTTAACTGGATTCCCTAGAGCACAAGGCAGATCTGCTGCACATATTCATTAAGCTTTTGTTATTGGAGTGCCTCTTCTACAGAGTGAAAGTCAATCCCTCTAGGGCCCCTCCAGGGAAACCACTTTGGATGGAGGTTACAAATCCTGAGAACTGCCCGGCATAGTGGCACACTCCTGTAATCCCAGCACTCAGGAGGCTGAGGCAAGAGGATCATTGCGAGTTTGAGACCAGCCTGGGCTACAAAGTGAGCTCAAGGCCAGCCTGACTGCACAGTAAGACCTGTCTCAAAAAAGACAAAAAATAAAACAACAAATCCTGAGAGCTGAGGTGTGTCCCCACTCCATGGGTTGGCCTGAGGAGCCCTGCCTTGCCCTGCTGAACTCTCCCATCTGGGGCTCAGGGAATGCCTGCAGAGCTCCTCCTCTCTCACCTTCATGGGAACTGACAGCTTCACCACACACATGTGGGTGTGCGGTGTCAAGTCACTAGCTGGTGTTCTCTGCTGGGGCAGCTGTTTTGCTGTGTTGTTTTCCTGCCTCTTCCTGAGAAGATAAGATCTGAACAGGCTTGTGGTTCTCTCCCACCGGCCCTCAAAGGCACCAAGCAAGTCAAGTTCCCATTGCTGAGATGCCTCCTCAGAATCAAGTCCCACTTCAGTATCTGTAATGAGACCTGGGTTCCTGGAAATCAATAGCAGAAAGCCACAGCCTCCCAGAGCACAGGGTTGGATCGATGCCTCTGAGTTTCCCTTTCTTCTTCAGGATCTCCAGGCAAAACTGATTTGCCTGTGCTGAAAACTAACTGGGTTCCTTCCAGCTGGGGAGGCTAGAGAGAGTTGAGGACCCAGCGGAGAACTCACCATGCAGATCCTGGGGGAACATGGAGAGAGGGGAGCAGACTTCTCAGGAGAGTAAAAGACCATATGTTCCTTGAGAGAAAGACACAGTTAAAAAGAATTAATGGCTGTAGCCAAAAGCCCTGTTATCTGGCTTTGAAATGGGATTCCAGTTGCAAGGTACCCTAAGAAATGAAACAACTCCTCTGGAGCCCTAGTTGAAGCCAAGGTCTCAGCCTGGGGCAGAATGCAGAGTGAGCCCCGAGAGTGGCCAGCTAATTACAGGTGAGCACCTCACCCAAGAGGAGGGAGACCTGATTGTGACCACTCCTCCTTCCAAAGCTCCTCCTTCATTCTTCTTCAGAAACGTTTATTGTAAATGGGCAATGAATATTATTCACTTTGAAACCAACATTTCCTCAGAAGTCAGAGGGAGCATAAAACAAAACACTGTGCGTAGGGCTAGCGAAATCCACTGTAAGAGTAGGTTTTGAGGAAGTATATAAGAAAATTGGCGATTTCTCCTTTTATTGAGAGGTAGAATGCCCTCCTGATCTTAGTTCCTAGGAGATCAGGCTGAGAAGAGAGAACAAAAGAGAGAGATTGAGATTCCTAATACATCTCTTAGTGTGAAAAATGGGGAGCAGAGGAGTCACACGGCTGTGGCACCAGGATGGCCTTTCCCAGTGGCAGGCCGGCAGCTTCCCAGACAGTGCTCAGTATAGAATCAGAGGATCAGCCTGCAGAAGGGAAAGTCGTTCGTCCTGGTCACAGAGCTGGAAGGGGAGGAAGTGGGATCCCTAAGGCTGGAGGTGCGGATATAAAGGAGCTAGACACCCGGCGTTTAGAAACACAGTGGGACATGGCAGCATCTTTGTTTTTAAATTCCAGGATATTTTTCATCCCAGAGAGCCTAAGATGTCTTCAGCTGTTAGGGAGAAGAGGTTGAAGGGTATGCAAAGGTACGGCTGGGCTATTACGGTATACCCTGGCTGGGTGGCAGGGTTGTATAGACTGGGTCTAAGGGGACTTCATTAGTTTCCTTGGTCCCTGGATAAAAGAATTGGTTCTGTCTCTGTCTGTCTTTCTGTCTGTCTGTCTATCTCTGTCTTTTTCTCCTCTCTCTTTCCCTCCCTCCCACCCCCTTTTCTCAGGCCCTTAGTGATATTGTTATATTTTATAGCAGATAGGTGTGCTTCTCACTTAGGGTCCACACACACACACACACACACACACACACACACACACACACACACACTAACCTCAGGGGAATCTGGCTTCCTGAAGTCAGGTCTGAAAAAGACCAGATCTGAAAAGCTCTTAGCCACATGACAGAATGGAGTAAAGTGAGGCACTTCACACAGATTCTGAGCATTCCTTGGTTCTAGTTCAGCATCCATGACTCCTCCCAATAGAGCATAAACCCTGAGAAGGTGCAGAAAATGTCTTTCCAGGGCAAAGTAGTATAATCAGCAAAGTACAGGCTCTGCAGTTAGAGTACCTACATTTGAATTCCGGCTCTATCAGGTACTCCACGACCTTGAGAAAGTTGGGTTTATTTCTCCCGCACTCACTTTCTCCGATATAGAAAAGGAACAATGGACATCCATAGAACTCAACGAGGTACTTTGTGTGCCTAGCACTGCACCTGAGCAGATGAATACCCAATCAGTAACAGTCATTCTCATTTATCACCACTATTATCGTTCTCATCCAAATCAGGAGCCACGCTAGGCCTGCAGTGCAGACTATAAGAGTGGATTTTTGAGGACACGGTCCCCCAGCACTTCCCAGAGTCTCAAGAAGCTACTGAGGACATCTGAGCAAACCCAGATGTTTAGGGAGGCCACACCCAGATGTTTACCATGTTTAGCTTAACTGGAAGAGAATTCAAGTTGCCGTGCAGCATAGGGATGGGCCTGATATTTTGAAGAGAGTCTGATGATTCCAAAACTTCTTTCTTATGTCCCTGGGTCTGAACCAACTGTTTTTATAGAGGGCAAGACATTTTACTGACTGACTGAAGAACTGAAATTGATGGTAACTAGCAGTCCTGACCAGGCTTCTGCCAGTCACTGCTTCGCACGGCTGCACTCGCGTCTCTTCCTCTTCCTCTTTCTCTCCTCTCTTTGCTAATCTGGACACGGCTTAGTATTCTTGTCACAAGGTCATCATCCAGGTGAACTCAGCTCAGCGTGAAACAAAACAGCCCATGTGAAGGTACCACACGGTCTGTGCGAGAAGGGGGACTGCGCTCCTCAGCCCCTTGTCTTCTCTAGCATGGGTTTTTCCAGTTCCATCTCACAAAAGCCGGGCAGAATGGATCCCAAGCTGCCCCTAATATCTTGGTCACCGTGGTTGTCGACCACTCCCTCGTAGTCCTATCTGCAGCTGACCACTTGGACTTTAACAGATGTCTGGGCCCAGTTTGTTTGCTTTTTTTTTTGTCTTTTTGAGACAGGGTCTCACTATGTAGTTCAGGCTGGCCTTGGGCTCACTTTGTAGCCCAGGCTGGTCTCGAACTCGCAGTGATCCTCCTTCCTCAGCCTCCCGAGTGCTGGGATTACAGGCGTGTGCCACCACGCCCGGCTCCCAGTTTGTTTTCAGAAGGCCCCCGTGTTCATTACTTTCTGCACTGCAGTTTTAGATCAGTTTGGATGTTCTCCAGCAGAGCCACGTTCATTTGGCATCTCCCATTCTCTCGCTTATGGGCACTTCCCTCGCGGCTCCCAAGCATCCCGAATCCCTGCTGTACCAGCCACGGGTTTGTGTGTAAGGAGTGTTTTCATGGTTTGGGGCCCTAGGGCATGTTTTATAAACACACTGTTTACACTGCCTGGGAACTTAGGGGCTTTCCTCTGTGCGGGAAACAGCTGTGAGGAGCTTTGTGCAGAGTAAGACATCACCTCTGGTCATGTGCACAGGGCAGCTGCACTGCCTGTGCTGCTGTCATTACACCTAGAGGATCCTCCCAGAAATCTGAGCTAAGAAGGGCAGGTTGGTGTGCTCTCCTCCTCATCTCCAGCCTGATTGCTCATCAGTTACTTTGCATAATACAATACCCCAGATCTGCTCATCTTTATGCGGCCTTTAGTCAACTGACTGGTTTGGGCCTCTTGGATCACAGAATCATTGCATTGCAGAGCTGGAAGGGGACTCGGGAGCCTTTCACTCCACATACTCGATGAGCACTCACTATGTGCAAAGCAATGCACTAGCTTCCCTGGGTAAAAGATGAACGAGACACAGCCCCAACCCTCAGGAACTGACAGGCTTCCAGCTCTGCCATCATCTCCACGAAGATCTCTTTGTGACCACCTCAAATAGGTGCAGGCTGTCCTCCTTTTATCCCCCTATCTCTCCGCTGATCCCTAGCAGACTGTTTACCACACTGCAATGTCTTTCCTGCCTTTCGAATGTAAACTGCTATGCTGGAGACACAGATTCTACAGGTTCCTATCACAAGGTTTTCACAAAAGGGAACTAAGACAAGAGTAGAAATGTAATATTTATTAACCACATGGGCTAACCATCAAAATAAGATGGGGCTGGTGGCTGCCTGAAGCAGGAAAATAAATTAGAGAAGCCGAAGGGACAATATCAATTTTGAGAGGTTAAAAAGAAGCTGGTCAAAATGAAAACATCTTCTCCACTGAACTCTTGGCCCCTCTGCAAACTCTCTCTCTGCCTGAAGCATGTTGCCTTAGCTGTTCCAGGGTTGCCAAGACAAACCACCACAGGCTGAGTGACCCAGTCAACAGGAATTCACTTCCTCACCCTTGTGGAGGCCACAATTCCAAGGTCAAAGTATCAGCAGAGTTGACTTTTTCTTAGGGTCTCCTTCTTTGGCTTGAAGATGGCCACATTTTCCTCTCTGGCTTCACATGGTTTTCCCTCTGTTCTTGTCTTAGTCGCTACATAAAATGATACCAGTCATATTGGAATAGACCCATGTGACCCACCATATGACCCCCTTTTACCTTTATTACCTCTTTAGCATATTCACAATAGGGCCATAATTTTTATGTCATATGACATATTTGAATTTTTTTCATTCCCCATTGGCCTCAGCCACCAGTGGTACATACAGGACTGTCCCACCAAGCAGCATGGGACAGTCCCATGAGGTGGTACAAGCCGCCCAGTGCATGTACGGTGATGCATGTACCACTGGTGGTTCAAGTCGGTTAAAGACTCTACATCTTAATGCTGTAGAGCCAAATTTGGAGGTACTAGGAATTCCAAAACTTCAATGTATGAATATGGGGAGTAAAGAAAATTCAACTCAAAACAGAAATCAACACTGGCGTTCACAGAAGTACCAAGAGTTCTTCTTAATGTCAAATCTGGTCAATCCCAGAGCCAAGAAATAGGCCTGGAGTTTCTGGCTGACTTACAAGCCTGGAGATTCAACTTACATTCACACTGATGACCAAATCTAACTGAATGTTACCACCACGGCCTTTTGTATGTACCCCTGTTCTCCCCACAGCATTGTTACTGCTTGTGGTTTCTGTGTTTGAGACAAGGACCAGAGAGGGTGTCGACATGGACAAAATAAAGAAACATGTCTCCCTTGGGACTAGGATGGGGAATGTCACTGATGGAGGCAGTTTCTAAGGAGAACTACTGGCTTTCTTCCCAAGCTCATAAGGGGTACGTAGGAAATAAAACCTTCAAATGCCGTGGCTAGATGGAGAAGTGCCAAGTCACCAACAAGGACCAGCAGTGGATTTCTGACTGCCAACCAGAGCCAATGGTGGTGGACAGGAACCAACATGGAGCAGAAAGGTCTGCCAGCAGGATGGCCTCCCCAACCGCAGGGCTCTTGCTGTCTGCCTGCACTGGGTTCATGAGTCCTTCACTGCCTGCATTTCCAGGGCTGCTTTTCATGATTGCCAGTTGGCTTCGTGTCATCTTGGAAAAGAGCACAGGATATAAGCTTCCAAATGAAGTGACTCATTGTAACCAGGTTTGGCTTAGGTTGACTATATAATGCCAGTGCAGTTGGAGGGGACAGCTAACTGACTCTGGGGGAGGGGGACAAACTCAGGCAGGTGAGCAGCAGCTGAGGATAGAGAACGCCCACAGTAAATGAATGGAATGGCTGGAGATGCTCAGTGCCCTGCTACCAAGATATAGCCCAGTTCTTTAAGGAAAGGGAAATTCACAGGCAATCTTCTAGGCTGCCTCTGAGCAGGTTTCAAAGTGCAAAGTCCTGGACAACTTGTAGAAACCAGTTGTTGGATTCCCCAGACTTTATCAAATGTTATTCTAAAACTATCCCAAGTAGGCCAGCTGGTGGGCTTCTCAATGTCATCCTGAAATTACATCTCTGGCAGATAGACCAAGCTGAGAGGCCTAGTGCTGGAGCTGTCACTCAGAAGACCATAGCCAACAACTTCCCCTGTACCAGGTAAGGTCTAGGCTTTTCATAAAGAAAGCCACATTTTTTACACAAAAACTAAATCAGGGACAGCAGGCTAGGGTATGGTTGGGAGTAGACTGTGTCTCATCAGAGACTCTCTGGAGGAGATAAAACAGGAGGTAAGCATGATCACCTCACAAGAGCTAAGCCTAAAACTACTCAGAGCTACTTAGCCCCCTGGGGTTCCTGGGGTTCTTTCAATGGGTAAGAACAAAAACAGCATCTATAAATCAGAGGAGTGTGTCTAGCACTGGCCACCTGGTGGCCCATTTATTCATCCAGTGCCATTTTTGGTGAGCACCTAATTTGTGCCAGGCACCATACTGGGTGAAGACAAAGCTAAACTCACAGGCCCTACCCTCATGACACATTCTAGCAGAGAAAAGATAAAATAACCAATCATACCATTTAAAATACAGCAAAACCTTGATCTGTGAGCATAATTTGTTCCAGAAACATGCTTGTAACCCAAAGCGCTTGCATATAAAAGCAAATTGCCCCACAGGAAATAACAGGAACTCAGATGATTCATTCCACAACCCAAAAATACTCCAATAAAAATGATAACAATACTGTAATATAATACAAAATAATAAGATACAAAATATAAAGAAAAATAAGTCGACCTGCATTGACCTTAGAAAACTTTTGTGAGGGAGAGAGGAGGGTTACTGTGTAGGACAACTTCCACTATCACTAATGGAATCTCTGTTATTGGCCCAGTAAAATCTTTTTCTTCTTGTGCAACTTTAACAAAGAACTTACCTAATGATACTTGCTTTTGTCTCCTTTTGAGGATTTCATGGAAATGTGACCTTGCATTGTCATTAAATGGCTTAGACTGCTACAGCCTTATTCACGTGGTACTTTTCTACAAAATTTTGATGTCTTCCCCATATTTTACACATCTTCTTAGTCACATACTATTTGTATTGCAAGACACCGCTCATTTATCAAATTAGAAATTACTAGAAATATTTGCTCGCTTGCAGAACACTTGCGGAACAACTTGCTCGCATTGCAAGACTTTACTGTACTTTTACTTATGACCAGGGATCCCAGGGTAGTTGAGTATATGCAGTGTGTTATGGTTTAGATCTACAAAGATCCCCAAAGGCCTCATGTGTTCAGGGTAGGGCTTTGGGACGGTGATTGGACTGTGGGAGCGCTATACTGAATGTGCTAAATGTGCTGTAGGGAGACGAGGCCTGGCTGGGGGCGGGTCACTGGGGGCGGGACCCAGGGGGTGGAGCTCCCTTCTTGGCTCCTCCCTTCACTCTGCCGTGAAGTGAGCAGCTTTCCTCTCTCAGAGCCTTCTACCACACTGTTTCTGCCTTGGAATCAGCCAACTTTGGGCTGTAACCATGAACCCAAATAACCTCTTCTCTTAAGCTGCAGGTGTTGGGCACTGTATCTCAGCAACAACCACAACAAAGTGACTGAGACATGATGGAAGACACTCCCAGATGTCCAGGAAGGCTTCCTCGGGTAATTGACACCTATGCTGAAGGATGTATGGAAACTATCTAGGAAAAAGGATGGGATGGGAGAGAACATTCTAGAAAAAAGGAACATATGCAAAGGCCTTGGGTTTAAAAAGAACCAAAGAATCAAAGAACCAAAGTCCCAAGGAAGTGAATTACAGGGAACTTAGTGAAAGATGGGTCTGAAGAGCTTGTGTTTCAGGGAGGGTACTGTATGCAAGACCTTGTAAACATTCTAATTTTTTTTTAAACTGTTATCTAAGCATAGTGGCCGCCTTGGGGAGGAAGTGATGGCATAATTCAATATGCTGACCTGAGCACCTCACCCTTACCTAATGTTGCCAAGAGGCATGGGGGGAGACCTAGCCTTGTGTCTGAGATCATCAAGATCTGCACTCTCAACGCAACCATTCAAGAGGGTTACTTTGCATCCAAAAGCATAGGTAACCAGCTGATTTGCAGAAATAAAGTTTAGGTTTGTACTTGTGTTTGCAGAAGGGCAGACGATCTGCTCTGAGCCACACACTAAATGGTGTCTGCACCCTGGTGGATACAAACCACTCAGCTTGCAAGAAAAAAAAAAAAAACACCACTGGTTTCAGTGACAATATTATAAACAAAGGCCTGCAACAGATGGGAGGCATGACAGATAAACAATCTCTCATGGTACCATTGAGACCAAGCTCACAGAACTCAACACAGAAACTCGTAAGGAGAGGAGTTTCTTCTCTATATTTCTGCAGCTCAATGAGTCACTGCAAGTTCCAGCATAAATGAAAATAATCTCTCATCTACTCACCTGGAAGGACTCTTAATTTTTCAGGCTGGAAGAATTCTCCTGAACATCTCCAATCCACTCTATTCTTTCACCACAAAGCCCTTGTAGTCAGACTCCTGATCTGTCCTCTTCAGCAAACAGCTGGTGTTCCTCCTGCAAAAGAAAGCTCAAGGTGGCCACTGTCAAGGCCCCTGGACAGACCCTCCACCCAGATTCGGCAAGGAAAGGCCATCACAGTGATGGAGCTCCCCCTACTGACAGCTCACAGGGTAGAATGCCAAGGGACCCTGGCGGGATGACCGCTCCCCTCACTGTTCTGTGAAATTAGTTTCCAAGAACACCTTCAACTCACCCTCAATCTACCACTCCCAAAATAAGGGCAGCTTTATGCAGAAGGTCTTAGGAATCAAAGCTCTTAGGAATCAGAGCTCTTAATCTCAATGCCAGGGCTCCCCAGACAACACAGAACCGAAAATGACACTCAAGACAGGCCCTTAGCCAGCGCTGGACTAGACTGATGGCATGCATTCTCGGATCTCCTCTAAACCAAGCTCAAAGCATTGCATGCAGCAAAGGATTCAGTTAATCGCCCACAGTGACTGTCTCCCAGGGAGCTTGCTTCTCCCGCACAAAAGAAATTCTGAGACACTCTGCCTACCTTTATACTGCAGGCAGCTGAACACAAGCTGGCAACCCCAAGAGACCAGTGGATAACAATGACCGTGTAATTACCACAAGTAATATAACAATAATGCTTGCTTCTCAAACTACTCTGATATTCATCTCTCAAAAACAATGTTGTTAACGCCATAAAGTAGTCATCATCAAAGGAGGAAACTGAGGTATAGAGCAATGGTGTGCCAGGATGAAAGTTCAAGTCCTTGTATATAATGCCACTTTTGTGAGACATGAGCTGGAAACGGCAAGACGGAAGACCCTGGAACCAGGAAGTCTCAGAGGACTGACCTCCTCTCAGGTACCTGCCAGAAGAGAAGTCCCAGAAAGCCAGGCTTCTCCTGCACTAGGTACTCAGTCACCACAGAGACCCTGACCAGATTATCAGAACCTGCATCACCAGTGTGGCCAAAAGTCTCATGATGAAGCAGAGTAAGTGGAGGAAAAAATATAGATTCAGAAGCATAATTGCCCTCCCCTGTCCTGACCACCAGCAGGAAGCACAGCCTTCAGAAGAGTGCAAAGGAGCCCTTAGCCTGGGGGAAGCCGGATGCCCTTGTGGGTTCACCTTTACGGCACTGCCCATGCTTACGATCCAGAGTCCAGGGGTGTGGGTGCTGTTCAAGGGGACTCTGTAGTAGTGTCCCCTCCCGCATTATCTGTGGTTTCACTTTCCATGGTTTCACTCATCCATGGTTAACTGCAGTTTGAAAGTATCAACGGGAAAGGTCCACAAAGAAATAATTCATAAGTTTTAAACCGTGTGCCCTTCTGAGTAGCATGAGAAAACTTCACACCATCCTGCTCCACACTGCCTAGGATATGAATCGTCTATCCACGCTGTATGAATTCCCTGACTGTTAGTCACTCAGTAGCTGACTCAGGTAATTGCTTCACTATGGCAGGATTGTTTGTATTAAAGTAACCCTTACATAGCAGACTAATGCCATGCCACAATAAACTGCATCGTTCAGTTTAAGCCATCTCAACATGTAGGTACCATATCATCTCATATCATCGTAAGAAGAAGGTCAGCAGTGTACAAGGGTGAATTTAAAGAGAGCAGCCACATTCATGTAACTTTTATTACAGTATGCTGTTATAGTTATTCTATTATTAGTTATTGCAATTAATCTCCTACTGTACCTGATATATAAATTAAATGTTGCTATAGGTGTGTATGTTAGGAAAATATATATATATGTATTTGGTACTACCTATGGTTTCAGGCATATAGTGGGGTCTTGAAATGTATCCCCTGTGGACAAGAGGAGCTGCTCTACTCAGTTTGGAAGCTAGGTGTATGTGGAGGACAGGGTAATGAAAGCATTGAAAGTGACCCGGGCTCTAGCCTGGGTGACTTCTAGAATGTTGGTGCCATTATCCAAACTGGGAGTCTGGAGGACCACAGTGGGATAAGGAAGGAGCTGATGAAGTAGAGTGGGCATGCTCAGGCTCTGGCCCACCAAGGAGGTAGGACTGGTACCTCCAGAGAGAGATGAGGCTAGCCAATAAAGCACAAAGGGAGCATAGGAAGGAAGGCAAATGCAAAACATGGAAAGGAAGGCTGGTTTGTGAGCATCACTCCTCTACAAGGTCCTGGTACCTATTGTTTTCACTGTCTCCCTCCCAAAAGCCACAGTTTTTCCCCAAGTATCCAATGAAAAAAACACACCATAGTGATGTGCATGGCCACTGCAGTGCAGGTGTAGAGGGGGTTTGGAATCTAGTAGAGGTAGGGAGACGAGGAGTTTCACCCACCAATGTCTCTTGTAGCTCTCATGTTTCACCTTGGCTTGTCTTCTGACAGTGACTTCCACTCCATGCTCCAAAGATCCAGACTCCTGGTCCAAAGTTCTTGATTCCTTATTTTTCCCATTACCCCGAGAGCTCAGATTGGTTTCGATTCCAGGTGATGATCTCCACTGGCTCAGAGGTCACCCTCTTGACCAGCACCCAGGGCTTCTTCCTCCTCCCTATATCACACTGCATCAGACAGGCCGGCCTGGGCATGTCTGGCACAGCCAGCTCCCAGGGTGGGATTGGAGAGTTGACAACTCCCTGGGGTTTACCGCATATGCGCTAACAGACTATGTCTGCTGGGACCTCACTGGAGCCTGGGGCTCGGCCAGAACATTTCTCAGGCTTGCAAACCCCTTCAGCGTACAATTCTACCTCCTGCAAGCAGTGAAGCCTCCAAAATAGAACAAAAGTCAAAGAAGTTGATTTCTTTGGAGACCTCCGATTACTTCAGTGGCAGTCATTTTTCATGAACAGGCTCCTGGGATATCTCTTTTCTCTCATGGTGCCATTTTACTCCCGAGCAAAAGGGAGTCACTAAACTGAAATAATCACCAAATGATCAGTTTTCTAATCATCTCTGGTCCTAGAGACTACAGAAAGGATAAGCTCAACTCACAAAATGATGTTCCTCTTTGTAGAGAAAGCCAACCACACAATAGACCTCTCTGGGCTGCGAAATTGGTCAAGCCCAGGTCTCAAACAAGGACCTCAGTGGGCAACGAGAATCACAACCACTAGCTGGCATTGCCAGTAACCCAGGGACGGGACCTCTGCCCACATTTCTCAGAGGGCTGCTCTTATCACACCCAGGTACTGTGTGACTAACTCTATATAAAACAACAGAGGAATAAAAAAGGACGTTTTCTCCTAATTCTTTTGCAGCTAATCCACCCTTTGTAACTGTCAGGCCTCATCGGGCTGGCGGCAAGCCCATCAGATAATATTGCAGCTGTGACATAAGAAATGTGAGAAGAGCAGATTTAATAAAGATGAAAAACATGTTTGGGAACTGTGTCTAAAGGGAGATCCAAGGGGGATCCTCAGAGGGACCCCCGAACGAATGCTACCCAGGAACCATGGCTACCCCATAAGGATAAGGGGCAGTCAGACATATAGACCCTGGAAGCATGCAGGTGTTTTCTCTACCTTTTTACACAGCCATTTTCACCTTGAAACTTCCTCAGTTGGTGTACTGTAAAATGGCAAGAGAATGACAGTGGTATCACACCATAAGGCACATGCTTTTGGTGTCCCCACCTTTGGTATTAGGCTGAGGACACATGCAGCTCCACAGCAAGGCAGCCCAAGGCGGTGGAATCCTCCCTTCCTGCTCCCTGAGCGGCCCCAGCAAAGAGCCATGACAATGCAAAGATGAGGCCATAGGAGAGGGATTCACTCGTGGCTATATTTTCAAAACCAGGAGCTAAGACAAGTGGTTCAACAGGTGCGTAGATATGCATGGAGCTATAAGGACAGAAAATGTCTCAGTTAGGGCTGTCCTGACATATCTAAGTGATGATGGACCCTAAAATAGAAATGCTGAACTTGTGGGCAAGTGGCATGACAAAGACTACCAAAAACACAGAAAGAACTAAGGAACTGAGTTCCTTAGCTAGACCTCTACACTTTTCTCTACTTGCCTCTGTTCTCATCTATGATGACATCCCAAAGAAAGCCCTCACCCACATCAGTCTCCTGGAAATGTTCACACATATTGTCAGTATGTTTCCCCAGATCCTTGATCTCTGAGCCGCAGTAGGCCTTGCTACCTGCAGAGCTTTGCAGCACTTCTAGCCAGGGACTTCCTTTCTCCTCAAAGGTAGCAGAGGACTGTGGGCTCGGGTTCTACGGTGGCCACAGCAGGGAGAGCAGACTGGTTGGGGACATGGGGAGGAGGACAGTGAAGCATCAATGGACTCTTCCTGATCTAAATTTATCTCTGAACCAGAGGCAACAGTAGGTCTTTGCTTGGACTTCTCTCTGCAATTTTCTTTTTTTTTTTTTTTTTTTTTTGGTACCAGGAATCGAACTCAGGACCTTGCACTTTCCAGGCAGGTGCTCATGCCACTAAGCCATACCCCTGGCCCTCTCTGCAGTTCTTGCCTATTTAAAGTTATGCTAAGGTCTGACCAGCAGGTGTCTGGAATCTTTCAGGAGTGGTAGGGTATAGCTAGTCCCTCTGTTGAGCATCCAGAGCAGGTTTATGTGCCTGTCGCTGTGAGGAGCAGGAAAAACTATAGGACAGACAGGTTCATGACAACCAGGAACAATATGAAGGTCTCCTTAGCTCAAGAGAGAGTAGGGCCAATAACAGATTAATAATAGATACGATTATCTGCTAAATAATGAAACAAAAATACAATCACTGCCAATAATTACAAACCATTTGCTATGATCCAAGACTTGTTCTAAGCCTTTCCCATTCATAAGTGTGTCCCGTCCTCAAAACACCTTACTTTTCTCATTAAGACAAAATTTACATGCCAGAAAATTCATCCTTTTAATCATTTTAAAGAAGTAACTTCCAGTTGTGCAAGTTGTGCAACCGTCACCGCTATTTAATTCCAAAACATTTCTGTCACTCCCCAAAAGAAACCCAGGCTCGCCAGTCACAAAAGCCTATTTTAGAGTGCAGTGCCTTCTACTGAGGGGGAAGGGAGAGAAGCTTAGAGTCT